TTTTTAGATATATCATCTCCAGTATTTTAGTTTATAGATTCAGAAATAATAAAAATAAATATAAGAATCATTTAAAATAAAAGATAAAATGAAACATATTAAAGTTTTAAAAAATAGCAGAGTTGTTAAAAGATACTTTTTAAATGGATCTAGATACAAATACAGATACAGCGTCTAAAAAGTTATTAAGATACAGATACAATTTTAAAATGTATCTGTATACAGATACAATTTTAAAATGTATCTGTATACAGATACATTTTTTTATGCTCTTATAGGTTTGCATAAACCTAAATTAATATTATATTGTGAAAATTCATGAAATGAGCTAAAAATTTATTGACGCGATATAACATTTATCAGAATATAACTAAAATTATAATTTTAATATAATATATGAAAATATATGATTAAATAATTATTAGATTTCAGTAATAAAATATTTTCAAAATTTTGATCATTTAGGCATCCTCGTTTATCTGTGAAGACATTTTTAGCAACACTAAATAGTCTTTCCACAGGGGCGCTTGAAGGAATTGTAGTGTTATATTTAATAAATAACAATTTTATATCAGTTCTTTAAAAATGCTAAAATCTCTACATTTATTTTTGAAAAAGTTATTTAAAATTTGTTGATTATCAAAATTTAAATCATTATTAGAAATTATATCTGCTGTAGGGTACTGAAAAAAATCTGAAATTAAATTATTTGTTTTTTTTGGCAGGTTATTTGCTTGCAGTCAGTTGATGACTTTGATAATTCACCAGCTAATCTTTGTATCAATTGTTTTCTTTTATAATGGCTGCATGCCATCTATAATAAAAGCAATAATTAAATCATCTAAAGTGCCTTGAGTTAAAGTCAAAGGTCTTTTAGCAAAAATGTTATTGGAGGATGAGCCTTGCCAATATTTTCTTTAGTATTTTATTTTCCTTCCCCTTTTTTATTTTTGTTAACAAGGTTGGATATTTTCTCTTAAAATTTTAATTAGAATTTTAAATATATAATATCTATACCCTTATGTGCTTCACGATATTGCACGTTGAAGTCATACTGACGGATATTTTTGTATTTTTAGGTAGACACGGCAAACCTTTTACCATCAGAGAATTAATTGTTTTCTTTGTTTTGAGATATTATTTTAAAATATGCTCAATTTGGCCATGGTAAAGCAATAGAACTTGTTGCTTCCTCTTCTTCATCGATATAGATCTAAATAAATATATAAACTTAAAAATTTAGTTATAAAATAAAATTTACCATTTCCATATTGTAATATTAAAATTTGTATGGTTTATTGATAAACTCGGACATAATATTTAAATTAATGAATATTTATATATATTTTTTATATATAAGTTTTAATATTTTATGTATATATAATTCTTTATTATAGTATTAATAAATATTAATATATAATATATATATATTTATTTATTTCATAAGCTCATATGAAATAAAATAAATTTTACAGTCAAATATTTTTATTTACAATAAAAAAGGGGTATATAAAATGTATCTTAAAAAGTATCTAAAAACAGATACAGATACCTCTAAAAAAATATCTAGATACAGATACAGATACCTTTCTAAAAAATCTATCTTGATACAGATACAGATACTACATTTTTATAACTAGATACAGTATCTAGATACTTGTATCTAGATACTTTAACAACTCTGAAAAATAGTAATATATCATTTAAAAGTGATAATTTTAAACCTATAAGATAAAATTTTAATTATAAAAAAATAAATAAAAACTTTTTAAATTTAAAATAAGTCAACTGTCTTAAATTATTATCGAAAAAATTTAAAATATCTTTAAGAAAAACAATTATAATGAAGAGGAAATGAAAGAAAATATGAAATTATTATTATAAAATAAACATTAAAATAGAAATAATTGAAAGAAAGGGGTCATTGCAAGTAAATGAAAGAAGGCAATAATAAAATTGAGTAAATATTGACGATTAGATGTTAATGCTGACAGCGTTGAGGCCGTTTGCAAGACATGGCCACAAACCTATCTAATGTTGATTGGCATTTTACCAAACTAAACTTTAAAACATTTTATCTTTATAAAATCAGGATAGTGCAAAAACTTTGATAATTAAAGATAGCATGATCTTAACTATTATAACATTTCATCATAATATATATACTTTAAAATAAAATTTTCTCATATATGAATGTATATTTTTTTTAAAAGGTTCTCGGAATTATATCTTGATAGAAATAATAACACAATAACATCCTATATCGAAGGGGTTGATATAAACCTAAATACATTTTCAACAAATAATATAATCAATAAAACTGTGCTTTTCTTTGAGAATCTTCAGTTATTGAACATAATAAGGTTGAACGAACTCAATCTAACATTAAAAATTAAAGCTGAAGTGAGTAGTAATTATTATTACATTATAGTTACTTATTTTTTTTTAGTTTGAGATTGGTTTGAACAGTAAAGACGCAATGGTTAAGCTATGTATGGTGCCGTTAAACAGTGGCATATCACACATGTGTATGGAATTCATGGACGCAAATGTGAGTTAAAATTTTATTTTAGCAACAAAATATAGGAAGGAGGGTAAGGAAGGAAGGAAGGTAATGAAAAGTGTAAGCTTAATAAATATTTTTATTTATATATTATTATTTTTATATATAGTTTATGATAAACGTTAGCAATCACAGGGTATCATTGGAATTATTTTATTGGAACTACACAAGTTTAAGCATATACAGAGATCATATACTATACCACTTATCATGGAGGATACCAAATATGAATTTATATCAATTTCATTTTATAGGTAGAATTTATAATGTATCTTGCAATCTCACCATCTGCATTTGAATAAATGTTACAAATTAACAATTATACTTTAGATTTTACTGGTATTTACGTTTATTATTACATACACAATTATTTTAAAAAAAAATTAAATAATCTAATAATTTTATCAAAATTTAATTTACTCTAAGAAATTGTGAAAAACTATCAATCTAACCTTTAATATTAAGTACTTGACATGACAATTTTCTTTATGATTTGGATATTTTTTATGCTTTTATTTTAACATAAATGGTTTAAGTTTTTTAAATACTTATTTTCTATAAAGAGAATTTTTTTTTATCTGTCATTAATATGATTGATAATTTTATCTTCTTTAGATTAAATTTAAAAAACCAACATTGAAGAGCTCGTCTAAAATATTTTTTTTTGTAAAATATTTAATATATAATAGTAAAATTAATTTTAAAGATGTTAAAACGAACATTTTAGTAATTATAAAAATCATAGATCTAAATTCTAGTTTAAATCAAAGAGATAGGATAACTGGGCTATTTCTGTAATTTCAGAAGGATAGAACATACATTTCCAAAAGAGTTTCTCTAAGGTATGATCAATTAAAGGATATATTGTGTGAGAGGAAGAGTAAAATTATACAATTGGATGTATATTATATACATATATATAAAATAATAGTAATAATATTAAAGATATCAGATAATATGTGATAAAATTAGACTGCGCCCTGCAAATTGATATACCAATATTAAAAATAAGTTGTGTATTTTGTGTATTAATATTAATATAGATATAGCATCATAAATTTTCAAATTCAACATCATGAATAGGTAGAGTCTACAATTTTTAAATATATTTCTCAGACAAAATTTTAAAATACAAACCTAAATGTAAAAAATAAATAAATAGATATTATATAATTATTAATTAATAATTACTATTTAAATGAATATAAATATCGCCATTATAAGATTGCGTAGTCTAAGTAGAAAAGAAAACACAATTAGAAAGATTAATTAATAATCAATTTTTTATTTATTAAACTTATTTTCATCTTTTAAAACATAATTAGCTTTTTTTAAAATATAATATCCTTTAAACTGCAACTATTTTACCCATTAATTTAATTTTCTAAACTTGAAAACTGGAGCAAAATGGGCAAAGTGGAATAATATATTATATATTTTATTGTTGTATGCCATATTTAATCAACTAAAAAACGATTCTCAACTATGTATACCTACAAAAAAATAAGAAATCTAATAAATTATTATACGTGGTATGATTAGTGTTGTTAAACGGCTCATTGTTAAACCCATTTTTATAAACGGCTACTCAATATTTTATTTAAAAAAATTATCATGCAAACCTTAAGATTTTGATCATAGGTAGCACAAAGGTTTGAACATCTATTAACGAAGCTAAAATATTGTGTTAGCCGTTTTTAAGAATCGGCACAGATCGAATCGTTTAACAACACTAGGTATGATAATTGTGACAAAATCAGATTTTTTTTTTTAAATTTAAAAAAATAATAAAATAAAGTCGATTCAAAATAAATTATCTAAAGTTGAAAAAATAAAAATGAAACAACACCCATTTAATTATACCTGAACCTAAATCATTTAGTATTCATCCATATTCTTAGAGATCTGTTCAATATTAGCTTATTATTAATTGTATAAAATATTGTTGTTAGAAGAAGAATTAACATGTAACCTATGACATTATGCTCAAAAATGAGTAAATGTTCGTGTTATGACAAAAGATAATTGCTATTTGAATATAGAGAAATACTTTTGCAAAAAAAAAATCGAAAACCTTTTTTCTCCCTTATTAATAAGCTCACCTTCAAATATAATCAGAAATACACCGATAACACTTTTAAAACAAAAATTCAAAATGTTTAATAAGAATTTGGGCTAAATTAGCGGAAAGGAATATCCTATTTAAATATAATTATTGGGTGCACCTATACAATTTTTTTTATCGATTATTGATTTCTATAATCCAACTGGCCAATCCATAATGACTAGCTGGCTGGCACTGATAATTTGTTATATAAAAATTAGTGGAAAAATTACCATATATATTGAATTTTAAATGATATATTATATGTAATCCATTATTATAATTGAGCGTAGGGAAAATTATAATTATTTATATGTGATTATAATGAGAAGATATAAATAAATTATTGTTCCTCTAGATAAATATAACTACTATACAAGTTTTAATGAGAGTCGCTCACAATCATTTACATAAATGGGAATCTATATTGGAATAAATGTCTAGACGCACGATTCGTTCGTCTAAATGCGTGTATGAAATAAAAACGGTATTTTTTGGTTTCCCGCCTAAATTATTAATATTTACGAAAACGGTACCAGCTGATTTGTATTCAACGACTTTAAAATTCAATATTTATATTTTCAATCATTGGGATAGCAAGGTTTTAAAACTGAAAATATTGTCATTTATAAGGTGAAAAATTGTGAAATATAAATATTATTATTATCATTCCAAATAAATATAAATTTTAATAATAAATTTCTCAGTATTTAATCTAATAACAAATATAATTAAACGAAAACGTGACTTTGATGTTGAGATTATGTAGAGAATAATCCTTACCCTGCGTATACACTTATCGTCAATTCGCGGAGAAAGTATATAAAAATTAATGTAAAATTATTGTATTTATATCATATTTTTGTATGCATCGCGGCTGATTCGCGCTAACTGTGAATGCGGGATTATTTTTAGTCTATCTCCTAGCAAACAATTTAAATCGTGTCATTTTAAACCACAAAGTTTTTTTTAAAAATAGACTCCAAATTTATTTTGGGCAAAATTTATATAGCCTAACCCACCCATATTAATTTTTGGTCAATTATTAAATACCCAATTTTAATTTGCTTTGCTAAGAGGTAGACTTAGATATTACCCTAATTACACCAAATAAATGAGAAAAAAAAAGGAGGAAAAATATTTTCACACATTTTCAATATCAGTTGCATTGCAAACATTTCATATATTCTTTACAAATCTGGACAGGGGGTAGGTCTATATCTAGATCATCAGAATGAAGGGAGGATAGAATGTTTTTAAATCGATTGCCTGCCGAATAGTTGCAAACGCAGCACTTGAAACAATTTAAGTGATACACCGCTTTAAGTTGTTGCACCATTATTATAGCGTTTTCATCTTTAATATATATAATATACATAAAAAATATTATAAAAACTTTTTGGGTTTTGTTTTTTTTTCCCCATTTTTTATGTTTTATTATTATCAGAGTTGTTAAAAGATAATTTTTAAATGGATCTAGATACAGATACATCGTCTAAAATAATATCTAGATACAGATATTTTAATCAAAAATCTATCTAGATACAGGTACAGATACCACATTTTTATATCTAGATACTTGTACCAAGATCCTTTAACAACTCTGATTATTATATATGATGAATAAATGATAAATTACAATAAATAAAATATAATAGGAAGTTTTGAAGGTAGTATTACTCATAAAGAAAAATAATCATAGTAAATTGAGTAAGATGGTATTGGCATAAAATGGAAGCCTAAAAATTATGTATAGGAAACAAAGTTAAGAGTTTAGGAGTGGTTGGCAAATGTTGCGGAGAGAAAGGCGATAACTTCAATATGAGTTTTAAGGTAATCGCAAATATAAATGAAATAAGAACGTGGAAAGAGATGCTGAAGGAGAGCGAAGCTACCCAAAAAATGGTAAAAGCAACACTAGACAAAAAAAAACAAAATAATTAAATTATCTAATTTATAACTTTGGGTCGAGGTCTTGCATGAGTGGCATTGCGCTGTATTTTGCGATTTTTTCCTAGCAGTAACGTTGTATTTTATAAGTTTAACGGGATATATGAAATTCGACAACTTTTTATTGCTCCTGACAAAATCGCCTTCCCGGCAAATCAAAGATTTATCATCGATTTTAAAATTATTTAAGGCGGTGGCGTCAATATCTTGAGCCTGATTGGTTTTATTTGGGTGTGCCCCTTTAACTTCCGCGATCGTACCGTATTCTTTACCTTTTTAAAATATATACGCAAAAATTAATTTGTATCCGACTTCAATAAAATTAAAAAAATTTTTTTAAAATAGAACATGTAAAAGATACCGATATAAATACATTTTTTCCCAAATGTATTCGATATAAATAAATTAAATAAATTAAATAAGTTTTAAATAATAATTATTAGTATTCCCTCTTCTATCAGTATTTTTAGCCATGAATAGGGAAGGGGGGGGGCAGTGACCCCTACACTTTTTGAGGGATAGAAGCAGAATACCCCCCTAAAGTACCCCCCCCCCCCATTGTAAATTATTTTTTGACACCAATAAATTTCAAAAATAATTTTTATTGCATCAATATTTATTATAATATAAATATAATGTAAAAAATATATGCTTTAAAAATATTAATTTTAAATTAATAATTTAGATAAATTAGGGGAAGAGAAAGCAAAAGAATTTATAATTTCATCAATATTTAATTGTTTAAATAAATTATTTTCCATTGATAAAATGGTTAAATTATTAAGAAATGGATCTTTCATGACACTACGAAGTCTTGTTTTAATTTTACTCATGACCCTTTCGGCAGTACATGATGTAGTAGGAATAGTTAATAAATATTTATATAAAATTGTTAAATTTGGGAAAGCAGAAAAATTAATAAGCAGACGATAAGGTAAAATAAATGAATAGTTTCTCCAGTCTGAATCATTCATCTCAGAATTATTATCATCATCAGAAGAAGCTAAATAATGTATTAGTAAAAATATCTTAATTAAATAAATTTACAATTCTCAGAATCTGACAAATCTTCTTTAACCTCTAGGTCACGAGTAATAATTACGTCCCCCGTTTTAGCCATTTTATAAATATTTCTAAACATCAACATTTCCTCAAAAATTTGACTTGTATTTAATTGATAAAATTCACAGATATCCTTGATATCATCTTTAACAATTGCCTTTTCCGCCATTCCCTTTGGGGTAAAAAATGATGTTTGACTCAAAAATTTTATCGATTCATTGTTAAATCTTTCACTAAACTGCATATCAAGTGCAGCATAAAACACACTGATTTTAAAGCTAAAATAAAATATTATATTTAATGATGAAAGTATATATATACCTCTCCTTTTTGGATTGTAATGTTTGAAGTCTTGAACTTTCAAAATCAAAAGGTAAATTTCTCTTCTTTATAAAATCTTGGGCCTTTGAAAAGACATCCAAAAATTCAGTGTTATTATCAATTTTAGGATTATAAAATAATAAAAGATAATAATTTAAATTATACTTCTCATATTAATCAGGCAATCTTTTGCCAATTGAATTTGATTTAACAATATTTTATCCAAAAGACATAGTGATAAAATAAAATAAAATTTTTCTATTCTATAGACTATAGCACTAGCCATAGTGGAAGTGGCAGGATCTTCAGAATCCTTTAAATTTGCCAAAGCTGCCCTCAAAGCATCATAAAGTTGGAAAAAATTTACAATCACCTTATATGATGTTAGCCAGCTTCTATAAATATAAAATAAACATTATATATCGAAACAATTAAGATAATATTACCGAGTGGTATTCTTGATGCGTAAAAATATATGTGATTTTGTCAGCAAATCACTCTGACATGTTTTGAGTACTTCATATCTTTTAACACCATAAAAATATACGTAAATTTCGTCTAATATTCCCAAGACATTTCGCAGCTCTTTTACTGATTGGCATAATTGAACAACTATTAAATTTAAACGATGACAATAGCACCAAATAAAAGCTGTCTTTGACGCCTCCGCTCTAATCAAAGCCTGCACTCCATTTTCTTCCACTCATGTTTGAGGCGCCATCATAGCTTTGCCCCACTAGGAATTCGAGGGGTAGATTCATGGAGCCAAGCTTGGATATTATATTCTTTTTAATATCGAGGCCCGTTGTAATCTAATATAAATGTCTAATCAGCCTTTCAACGGGCTTAGGTGTCTCGCTATTTTCAACATATCTCACTATCAAAGCTAATGCTTCTGATTTCGATACATCATATGTGCCATCAACTATAATTGAATAGCACCTGTTGAATTCAATCTCCTTTTGAATTTTTTTATAACCATATTTTTCATGGTTTCAATAAGAATATTTATGTTATTATATGATAACAGATTTGAATATAATTTAGATTTTAATCCCTTAATTTTTTTCTCACTTCTTCTTTCTTCATTATCTTGTATATACATTTTAAGAACAGGCTAGAATCTGCAATAAGTTTAATAAGGCTCATCATATTGCCATCTTAATTTTTAATCAAGCATTTATATTTTTTTTGGTTAATATTTTTGGGCATATTTTGACAATGATCTAGAAATTATAAATGATTATATATAAGATTAAATATTTAAATTTTTACTATTCCCTTTGATAAAATTTTAATTTTGCGCCAAATCTTGAAAGTGGAAAAATAATTTTATGATAAGAAATATCGGATAACAAACTAATTTGCTAAACATCGACCATAAAAATTTTTAAAAAAATAAATAAAAAATTTAAAAAAAAAAAGTACCCCCATAGAAATTTATAGAAGCAGTTGCTTCGGACCCCCCTTGTTGTAGGGGTCACTGGGGGGGGGGGGTTCTTATACCTAAAATTTAATGGTAAATGAGAAAATAATTTTTAAAGTTTTTTTTTCCCCTCTAGATTAATTTGTTTAAAAATTATATTATAGAATAGGCAATGACATATAATAATACCTAAACTGACTATGCATTCATTAAAAGTGTACATCAATGAAAACAGCTGGGAACGCCATATTACTCATTATCAAAAATTTTAAACGAGGGACCAATTTATTCCCATGTCTGAGGCGAACTTTATTAAAGAATTGCCTGATCATCGAGATCAATAAGGAATCATGTAATCAATTTAATAGTAATTTTTTAACATGAGAACAATTACTATATAGATTACCAAAATGGTTGGTCCAGCTGATTTACATTCAACGACTGTCAGTCTAGGTATTATTATATGTCATTGAGAATAGGCTAATTTGGAAATGTTTCTTTTTTTTAAAAAAAATTTTATTTTAGTAGCATATAATTAAATATTTTTTTATTTTGATTATTTAAAAAATTAAATACTTAAATTACTACGATATATAAGTATCGGAAATGTATCGATTCTTGTTACAGACACTTAAAAATATATCGTTTGTGGACTAAAAAAATTCCAAATTTCAAAAATATGTCCGATACCGTTTGATACAAAAAATTGTATGAGCCCCACTTATCACTTCGTATAAAAATTTTATATTTTCAACAATTACCTACCTATTGTGCCCTCAGTCTCCATAAAATCTCTATTCATTAGAATTCTGGTGGTTTTTGTTTCGTCAAATTTTGAAAGATCAATGTTAACTTTATTATCATCGCCATTTTTATTATCTTTATCATCTTCACCATCTTCAACTTCAATTTTGTCTTGTTCGATATTAGCATTTTTATTGATTCCTTCAGCAACACCCACGCTGATTTTAATTGATTCGGTTCCATCTGCAATAGATTTATCTAATCCGCTTTCAACTTTAGAAATCAGATTTTGCATTTTGGAATTTAATTTTACGGGTAACTCATTTGGTTTAGACGAATCTATACGAATCACGATACTTTCCACGCTTTCCACGCTACTAATAGGGTTGGAGATACAATCCTTTTCTATAGCTTTATTTATCGCGTACTCGTAAACTTTGTTAGATAGGTCACTTTTATTTGTTGTTTTCCTACTTTTCATTATGATGCTATCATTATCCGCCAAATCACACTTTTCGACTCTCTCACAAATTTTAACTGTGTCTGGAATAGGAAACGATTTTGTCGATATATCTCTATTGCTATCATACGAAACGTGTCTGTATAAACCACATTTACTCTTTATTTCTGGGCCTTTACCAATTTCCTTGCCAGCTTGATTTGTACCCTCAAGGTTTATCGGATCATTGCATTGATTTACCATTTGCACAGCTTTTTCGTAGATTTCTGGACTTTCAGCAAAATTTTGATGGACTTTCGAAAGACCCATTCTTTCAAGTTTGAATAAGGAGGGAAGATTAGATGTATATGGCTGTCAACAAAATATTATGAAAAAAAATAAAAAATTTTAATCGAAATGATGAAGGCGAATATCTATTTAACGCCATGGAGGGACCAATATTTATTCTTTCTTTCTTTCTTTCTTTCTTTCTTTCTTTTTATGTTAAAAGATCACCGAGATATAGTTATAGGGTTAATATATATATTTTTTAGATATCAATAGCTACTCACTCAGATAAATTTATGTTCATAACAAAATGAATACTTTGAGAAATGGAAGAAATTTGATTTTTGGTACAGGGTTAGTAGATGGTTCGTCGGATTTATAGCGTATGTCAAAACTGTCAGAATTTCTTTTGTCATCTATCAATTCCATTTTTGAGGATTGATTTGAGCCCACTGACCCCACTTTAGTAAGATTAACCTGATTTTGTGTGACATTCGAAATAGGAATTGCCTGTTGCACGATCAAATGGTCGCATACATCTGTTTCTAGCTCGCATAACATAGGAGATGATAACGTATTTTGTCTACGTTCATTATCCTCACGGAATTTTTCTATTTTCTGGAGGAGTGTTATATTTAAACCATCTCCTTTGACCTCTTCAAGAAAACTTCGCGCACTTTGATTTCTATAGCAGTTTTTATCGTATAGCCCGCTGGGAAGGGAAAAACGCTTTTTTAGCCTGTCTACTTCCTTCTCATACCCGTTTAAATGAGCATATTTTTCTTTTCTGTCGCATCCGTAAAAACCTTTCCTGGTATCGTTTCTCTGGTAATTGGTCTCTGGGGCTGAATGGAAATTGGAGCCATTGTGCTGACTAGATCTCATATTCACAAAATTATTTTCGCTTGACTTAGAGAATATCCTTATCTTTTCGGCGGTTCGCTTTTGAACAGCGGGTCTCACGTGCTTCGACGAAGAATTTTGAATGGGCAGGGATTTTCTATAACCAACTTTGTTGCATCTCTCTTTTTTTTCGTCATACGTATTATCGATAGGAATGGAAGATGCCTTTATATAATATTCTTCCCTTCCATAAGTGATTACGTAGTTACTGGACACGCTTTTCACGCGATGCAATTCGCAGTTATCGGCGCAAAATATTTTCTCTGCGTTTTTGTATTCCTTATGTTTAACCTTTTTATTGATTTCCCCGTTGGCCTTGATCCCGAATTCGGGGCTATCCGAAATCACTGTTCTCGATTCCTTGTCCAGCAATGATTCCAGCGATCCATAACCGATTTTGCAGCAGCTTCGTGATGAGTCATTTGTGTCACATTCATTATTCTTGATCGAAGTCATGCTTTTGTATTTCAGCAGCGTTTCGTTCATTCGCAACACCTTCCGGTTAATTTTGTTATTTTTCCATTCCGCGAAAGCTTTTTGAGACAATTGATTCCTTTCTTTGGCTCTCTCGTCTTCGTATATCTTTGCCCGCAAAAGCACCGACTTCTTATTGCGAGGCCTGCTCTTATTATCCTTTTCTTCGCGCGATTTAATTTTGTCGGTATCTTTGCTCGAATTATCGCTACTATTCACGCTTCGTTCGCTCCTCTTTATTTCTTTGGAATTGGTGAACGATTTATGATTGACGGTGTACGAAGTTTCGTTATAAAGGGTGGTGGATTGGTCATCAATTTTAGAATCGCTGTTCGGGGTGATAACTGGGCTACAATTAACCATATCTTGAGACAACGGTGAACTGGTTCTAGTAGAACTATCGAATCGATTACTGTAAGACGTGCAATCATCGGAGGGGGAAGTGATGACTAGGTCTTCGAGTAACCCCTTGACAGGGTTGATTTTAGATATTTTCAATTCTACCTGACCCGTGTAAAAAGCTTGGTTTAAAGCAAATTTAAGGCCCTTGTACGTTCTACCCCTGACACTTTCTTTGTTAACTTCCAATATGTTGTCGCCTATGTGCAGACCCGATCGCGAGGCGCTACTAACTGTATTGAATAATAAGGGAGGGAATAATTAAAAATTTTATTTAACAAAGTCTATATAATGACTAAGCTATCATTTTATGATGGATAAGAGCTATTAATTCTAAAGAACCTTAGGCATTATTTTTTTTTAAAAAATATTATTTTATAGGATCAATCTTAGAATTATACACAATAAAAAATGCTAAGTAGGTGGCAGTGATAATTGCTTCCGATGCTTAGCCGAACACTTGAATTCTTATTTATCTTCGGCTTAATATTATAGCATTCTATATCCATTTATTTAAAAATTAATTCAGGAAATCATTTTTAAAAAACATAAAATAAAATAAAGTAATTCCTGTATTTTAGAGATGAGATGATAGTGCAATAATACAAATAGGAGATTATTCTCAATTTTACATTTTAACATTTTTATTGTGAATATATAAGAATATTTTGCCCAAAAAAATGAATATAGAACACTATAATACACTCAGTCTACGCCTATATGTTAATTAAATTTTTTTTTTCTTTCACTCCGCTTACATGTCATAAATATACCATATACAATTAATTGTACAATACTTGGGCATATCGAATCAACCAAGAAATATTTTCTCTTGACCAAGACGCACCCATTTTCGCTCACATTCGCGGCGCTGAATCGTGTCCCGTAATCCGAGCGATTTTCCTCTTCGACCTCTATTTTCCTAAAGGTAAACCCGAAATCCTTTTCTCCCTGCTTCAAAATCAATGTGAGGGTCAAATCCTGGGGTTGAAATATGGGCGCTTGCCTCTCGTCCTTGAAAGGGGAGCTTAGAACTACCATCTAAAGAAAATGGACTGATGAAATATTATAACAATATATATTATTTTGTATCAAATAAAAAATTATCTATATAATAGCATTTTTTTTAAAAAAATAACTTCTAAGAAAGTTCTAATAAGATATTCCAGCATGGCCCGCACAAAATAATTTGTATACTGAAACTTTCCTTTAGTTTATTTTTCTTAACCCCATAAAAAATAATTTGGATCTCCTACATAGTATATACGTAATCATTCATTTAGTAGATTTATTACTACTTTTTGTGATGAGAATAATTCTCGAGAATTTAATTTTACTTTTCTTCTTTTTTTAAAAAAATATTTTTTTTTTTTTTTTTTTATTGTTTTATTTATTTATTTCACATAACACCTAATTAAAAATATTATAATTTATAAATTATAATTATATAATTAAAAATAAAATTCTATAATTGAGTCCCCAAAAAGGAACCATAATTGTATCTAAAAATTTCTATTTGAATTTTTTGTCGAATAAAAAGGAATTCTCTTGGTTCATTTGTGAAAAGTCGTATTTTATTAGCAAGATTTTTTAAAAACAAAAATGTTGAAGGCGAAAAATGCCCTTAGTAGAAGTCACAACTGGAGTGAATAAAAAGTTTTTAAAATTTTTGTATTTGTTTATCTTTTTCGTATACCAACCCTATTTCTCCATCTAACATAAGCAAAGATGGACTCTACTGATATCTCAGCGATTACTGCTCGCCATAAACAATATTCAATTAAATTATTTAAGTTTCTTCTCTTCATCAAAATGACTGTCAAGTTTAGGTGAAAAAATATTTAAAATTCAATCTCTAAAAATGATAAATCTGCTCTTGATTCTCTCCATAATGGTTTTGACCATATTCCAAATCAATGATTTAACAACCTCTACAAAATATTAAAGGACTCATCCAAGTTTGAAAATATAAATCATTCAAAATTCCAAAAACCAATGTATACTTTCAGAAAAGTATTGTAAAGCTACTACTAAATTATTATCATCTTAGTATTCCAAATCTTTCAGTTACTTATCAAATTCTAATTATTACAATGATATTCAAAACATCATATTCTAAGTATTACAATGATATTCAAAACATCAAATTTTAATAATGTGTATAATAATTATTGCCATTCAGCCTGACTCTTTATAAACAATACTGGGTTTTGTCAACTTTACAATCTATACTCACATACCCTCAAACTTCAATGTCAACAATTTGCAACATCTGTGCAAAACTAATTAAAGTGACAAAGGGTAATCTATTATACAAACATAGTTACAAAGGGTCAACATGTCCTTCCTCTCAAAAATCTCCAACCAATGAAATTTTAACAATACCCAAACCCTTATTCAATATTATTGAGCCTCATCCTCCCCCTATCAACACAGATTTTCTTGAAAGATTTTTTGAATGGAAAAAAAGACCCACTTTAACACATCTACCAAATAAATCTAGAAACCTAATTTCAAATTTTGTTATTAAACTTATCACAAAAGTTAATGATAACTTAAATTGCTTAAAATCATGGGAAGATTTATTAACCTTCTCTCATAAATGTCTTATACGTCCTGCTAACAAAGAGACCCCATTACATGAACAAATAAAATCGAACATTGATAATTTTGACAATATTCAAATGATTAACTACAATCATAATGTTAAAAAGCAAGTAGATGATATAACACACAAATGCAAAATTATATCAAATAAAATAGATCAAGGTGACATAGGTGGTGCAATTAAACTCATATCCTCAGATAACCATCTTTCTCCTATCAATGAAGAAACATTACAACTATTGAAACAACTACATCCTGAAGCTTCTACAGATAATCTACCCATCTCTCCAATCCACAAGACTGTAATTTTTACCAGTGATAAAATTGTCAATGCTATCAATTCTTTCAATAAAAACTCAGCAGGTGGTCTTGATGGTTTCAGACCCTCCTATTTTCAATACTTAATTAATCCAAAAAATCCTTCCCATAGTTCTGTCATCAAGGTTTTAACAACTTTTTGTAATAACATAATAAATAATGATATTCCAATACAAACTCACCAAATCCTTTTTGGTGCACGTCTAATTGCTTTATCTAAGCCAGATGGTGGTACCCGTCCTATTGCAGTAGGCTCCTTTTTCAGAAGATTAATAGCCAAAATCATAATTGAACACATCAAACATGATGCTGTCAACATATTAAATTCTTATCAACTAGGTTTTGGGATCAAGGGTGGCTGTGAAATAGCGGCTCATACATTAAGAATTTACTTAGAAAACCCACCACCTGATTCTGTAATATGTAAACTAGATTTTAAAAATGCCTTCAATAGCCTACATCGTACCTCATTTTTAAAATTCTTCTATGAAACATTTCCCTGTTATTCTAAATTTATTGAATCCTCATATGGTTTTCAGACGCCTTTGACATATGGATCTTATCAGATTTTATCCCAAGAGGGCATCCAACAAGGGGATCCATTAGGACCTCTTCTTTTTTGTTTTGGAATCCATCATCTCATATACCAAATTAAACAAAATTTTAACCTAGATCTTAATCTATGGTATTTAGACGATGGGACCATATGTGGCCCTTCAGCTAATGTACTAAGCGCCTTAAAACACCTGGAAATCAATTCCCAAGCTATCGGTCTGGTACTCAACATAAATAAAACAGAATTATGTTTCTTAAACAATAAGCCACAAAAGTTGGAAGGCTACAAAATCATTGCTCCTGACAGCTTAACCTTACTTGGGTCCCCATTAGCTAATGCGACCAAATCGGAAGATTTTCTCAACAAGATTTTTAAAAGCTTTTACAGTATGGAGCACATTCTTAGTCTCCTACCAGCTCATCAATCTTTATTTTTAATTCGCAAATGCCTGTACATACCTAAATTTATGCATATTTTCCGATCATCATCTTTTTTCAAAAACAATGAATTCATATCTAAAATTCAGGATAAATTTAAAATATTTCTGGAAAAAATTTTAAACATAAATTTAAACTCATTCAATTGGTCACTTGCTCAGCTACCTTCTAAACTAGGAGGTTTAGATTTTTTTCCGCTCAATCTTTTATCCTTATCATCATTCATATCATCTAGATTATCTAACAATTCTATTATTTCTGGCTTCATATGCCCTACCGATCGTTTATTAGACGACGCTATTGACAAATGGAAGGCAAACACACCCATTAACACCGTATTACCATCAATCATCACACACAAAAATTTTTTCACACCTTTAATCTCTAAATACCAGACAGATATATCAGTCAATCCACCTTTCGATTGCATTCAACTCCTTCAATTATCTGACAGACTTGGTGGTCATAAATGGTTAGAATCACTCCCTAGTCGCAACCTTGGTAATCTCTTATCAGATAAACAACTGAGAGTAACCATTGGTCTACGTCTAGGTTGCGATATAGTACAGCCTCATGCCTGCGTCAAATGCAAATCACCCGTTGATTCAAAGGGTAGACATGGCTTAAATTGCATTTTTAGTCAAGGGCGACATCAACGCCACTCAGCTGTAAACCATATAATAAATAGAATCTTAACAGCTGCACACATTCCTAACAATCTCGAACCATCAAATTTATCTCAAGTAGATGGTTTAAGACCTGATGGTATGACAACCATACCTTGGGCCCTCGGCAAATCACTCATATGGGACTACACGTGTGTTTCATCATTCCCTTCAAACATAAATTTCAATTTAATAACACAGGCTGAAATTAAAAAGATAAACAAATACGAAAATTTTAAAAACCTTTTATTCACTCCAGTTGTGACTTCTACTAACGGGCATTTTTCGCCTTCAACATTTTTGTTTTTAAAAAATTAGATTTATAAAAAATATTATAAAATATATAGTAGCGTCAAATTAACAAGAAAAGAGTGAATTTCTATTAATATTATTACTCTAATCTATTTTTTTTTCAATGATAAAAATTTGTATGATATTCTTTTTAAATCAACCGTAATGGAGCTTATCTTTTTACACTTTCTCATTCATTATAGTCTATTTGCATTGCATTATATTATATGTGCATAATATCTAATTCAATCTATATTATAATGATAGTATTTTAATAAGTTTTATTTTATAAGCGTTAATGAAAAAAATGAAATAAAATACGGCATAGGAAGTAAAAGGAATTCAAGATTAAATATTTGATTTAGATCTCAACCACTTTCTTTCATTGATTGTATTTATATTATATCATATTATATTTTATTTTTTTCCGTTATAAAGGGAAATGCAAAAGAAATCTAACTAAAATAAAGTGTTTGTTTCTATATCCGCCTATCGCTTCCACGCGGAATTTTTAATTTAAAGGAGGCACCGAGGGGAAGAAGAAAAGGGCGCAATTTTTTTTTGGTTGACAAAAATCTGTATATATTTCGTTTATAGCTTGTAAGTGCCTGTAAATAGAGTACAAACTGGACACAAACGGTTGACGCTAATTTGAACCTCAAAAGTCGGGCCTTAACCGGATGCCGAGTTCGGGTTAAAAATTAAAAAAAAAATTGGGCCGGGTCGAGCAAGTTAATCAATATTTTGGATTTTTTGGAATCAAAGAATTTTTGGAATTTCGACTGGCTCCAGATGCGAATCAAATATTTAATATCATATCCATCTTAAAAGACGAATAAGGGAAAAGAAAAGAAAAGAAAAGAAAAGAAAGGAAAGAAAGAAAGAAAGAAAGAAAGAAAGCTATGCCCTAAAAATATTCAAATTTTTGGTAATCATATTTTGCAACGCTCAATTTTTGTTTTGCAAGATTTTTAAAATTATGCCCTCGACCGCCTAAACGCCCTTGGTATGTATCCCCTCCTAAGTGATTTTGAAATTAGTTAAATATCCAATTTTTTATTTTAGTCTAGTGAGTCAGAATTAAAATAGCTGAATTTAGTGTTAGGGCGAAAATAAAAGCTGATATCGATTCACATTACGATAAGCATGCACTGGGGAGGTCCGGGAGGTGCACAGCCCCTTAACTGTTTTTGGATAGGTTTCAAAATAAATACCTGGACACGTGACTGGTTTAAAGCAAATCATGCTAAAGTTCATAATTTTTAAATATTTATCTTAGCTCATCTGCTTAATTTGGCCTTAAATATAATAGATGGGATATTATAGTACTTTTTTAAAATTATAATTCACTTTTATTAAAAGCAAGAAAGAAATAAAATTATAAGTCCCTTAAGATAGTTTAAGGGGCGCTGCTCCATTAGCTAACCCGTTTGCGCGGGCCAGATTGCGATAAAGTTAATAAGTAAATTTCTCGAATATTAAGTGATATTGCTATTAGAGGACTTTCTAAATTCATAAATATATAATGGTAAATTCAATATTCTGGGTAACTGATGCTTTTTAAGCTTATATCGGAGTAAATTATTATTTAAAAAAAATATATAAATTATAACATATAACCTCCTGTAAAAAAAAATAATGATTACATATTTTACAACGAAAAATATACCATAAACTATTATGCACATTTTATAACACATTATACCACCCATTCATGTATACGTTAAGTTAGAAAGATTTAAGATCCCGATTAAAAAATAAAATATCAAAATGCGATGAAACAATATTATTAATATAAATAATAAAAAAATTTAAAAAAAATTAACATTTATCTTCATTTTTATCTAAATAATTTAATTTTTTTTAATTATAGAAATAGATAAATGAATAATAAAATAATAAAATTTGAACTAAAAGTTAAAGACTAAAACAACTTTTAATATATATATCTAATGGCCATATGGTAATAACCTCAAAACAAATATATTCGGGGTTAAAGACATATAAACGTTTGCGGGTTAGAAATAAATATATTAAAAATTAAATCTTGCGGAAAATATAATTAGCCTGTTCCCCCAAACTAAATAATATTTAGTATAAGTCGCATAAAAAAAACCCAAATGAAATGGAATCCATTGGGAATTCGGAATTCTCCCATTTTTACAATCATTTTACGGAAGGGCATTTTTAAAGTTAAATCTGACTTGACCGGAAATGTATTATGTATACGGTATCCGCACTGCTAACTTATAAAATTTTGCATTTCCGGTTCAAATCAGAAATTTTAAATTTCAAAATATCTGTTTTGGCCTGAAAATGTATTATGTATATATGACTATCCACACTGTGAACCTTCGTAAAAATTTTGCCTAGAAAACTTTTATAAAGTATTCCCAAATTTATATCAATTTTCAATAAAAATTAGGAATTAATATAGACAAAAATATGGCAAAAATTGTCTAAAGTTTTTTCGGGGGTAATCAATATACTCCACGTGCTAGAATTCATTTCCGGTTACAATCAGAAATTTTAAATTCGAAACACCTGATTTGACCGAAAATGTAATATGTATCGAGTATCCTACTGTAATTTTGCCTAGAAAACTTTTATAAAGTATTCCCAAATTTATATCAATTTTCAATAAAAATTAGGAATTAATATAGACAAAAATATGGCAAAAATTGTCTAAAGTTTTAGGTGATATTTCATATCCCAATATGATATATATATGTGTAAGTCGTATGGGGTTTCGGAATCCGTGTGGATTCGGAATCTGGGCGATTTTCGGATTTTAAAAATCTGATTTTACAGGAATCGTATTCCAGCACGTGTAAGAGTATTTACCCTATAAATACACAGCCAATTTCATTGAATAGACATTTTAGTTATTTTTTTAAATTTATACGAAAAATCCGTATAAAAATTAATGTAGATTAGAAGTAGTTTCTAAAGTTCTTGGCAAAATTGTTTGACATTTACAGTTTTGGGTGCTCTACACATGCTAGAATACATTTCCGGTTAAATCGAACTTTAAAAATTTTTAAATCGCTTCCGGTAAAGGATTTAAAATCAAAAGATTCCGAATCCCAATACGACATATATATGATTGAGTAGTATAAGAAAATTCACAGCTGGTCCCCATTCATAAAGGGATCCGGTGCGACACGATTTAACAGCTGATCGATTTTAAAAATCTGTTCACGCGATATATTTTTCTTTCATAATATTAATTTTCTTTTTTTTAATTCATGAATCATGATGATAATATGAGAAATTTTTAAATTTAAAAAAAAAAAAATTTGATTTCATAACCAAATTAAAAAAAACCGATCAGCTGTTAAATCGTGTCGAATCGAATACGACTATGGATTACGGTCTTAACCCGAACTCGCTGCGAATTCGCTCTAACGAATGCAGGGTAACGTGATTAAATTATAAATTTAATGATTGTATATTTTTAACCGAAAATGGTTTATCGTCGAAAATAAAATCTAAAAGAAAAAAAAATTATTTAGAAAAAAATAAATTTCTGTTTATCATAATTTAAAATTCCTTGGTCAGTGATTGGTTAAAATCGAATGTCTTAAATTTTATTGCCCGAAGTTTTAAAAAAGAATTTTCATCGTCATTATTTGGCGAAAAATAGCCTTTGGATATTTGATGTTCGAATATAAATTAATTATATGTATAAAATATTTAGAAATTTTTAAAAAATATAATTAATTAAATATCGCATACAATGAAAGTTAAAGTTTTGTACCCCCTCCACTAAAAATATTTCCGATATTGATTCTTAAGGAATTTGTCCAAAACATCAAAAAGTTTTAAATTTGATACTCAAAAATAGAAGAAAAAAATTAAAATATGATCAAAAACATATTTTTTTGTTAAATTATTCATAACTTCAATCATTAAGGTTTCGACTTTTGAAAACGGCTAACTCAATGTTTTTATTCAGAAAAATATTATGCGAAGCCTAAGGTTTTTCTCATAGATAACACAAAGGTTTGGACATCTATTAACGAAATCTTGAGGGTTAGGCAATATTTTTTTCTGGCTAAAGTATTGAGTTAAATCGAGCCCTTTTAACAATATTAGGTCTTCGAAAAGAGGTTTTTGGATGTACACCGCCCTTTTTTTTTGTCTGAGCTAGTTACCAGGATTTAGGTGAACAAAGGAGGGAGGAGAGGAAAAGAAAGCTACACTTTCCATTCCCAGAAATTGGTCAGGTTCGATCCAACTGGTCCGCGGAAATCTAAAAAAGAAGGTTTTCGTAATATTTTTTAGCTCGGCTCGATAAATACCGGTTAACCCCCCCAGAATTTCGTAACAACCCCTGCCCGTATTTATTGTGAAGGGAGGATCGGGGAATTCGCATTATACGAGGTTTAAAAATCACAATATTTCTCATAATGCCCTACTGCATATCTCTGCCATCCCACTCATTACCTACCTTATTCTCTCTATATCTTACGAAGACCCACCCCCCTCCCTTCTTCTTCAGAGTTATTGTAGCCACCGGGGGAGGAAGTCAGCAAAAAGGGCTGCATCCCAATTTGAGCCTATAAGCCTTTGTATACTAATTTGCTCTGTAAATATTATTAGCATCGAAACCGCTTTGCGCGCTGCAAATGAGGCGCATAGTATAATAATTCGCTTGGAGTTCGTTGATTTTTTTTTGTACTATTTAAAATCCTATGTTAAGCTTGTATTATCCTTCTTCTATTTAGGATTTCACATCTACAAGCATACAGGTTAGACTCCTTCCAAAGACAGGGGATGGCCATCGCTATCTTTGCAGAGAATTATATAAGCTACAATGTCAGTTTTAACATAAATATTGAATATTTTAAATATTATTTATAATCAAAATTTAATCTTATTGTTAGTTTTTTTTTAAATATTGAAACATTATTAAATTAGATCTAGATGATGGATGTGACATAGGAAAAATAATTCAATACGAATATATACAGGCAAAATTTAGTTTGTTGTTGAAATGGAAGGTACATGATATTAATTAATTTTAGAAAAATATTAGCTAAAAATAATATGTATAATGAAACGAACGTTTTAAATTATTCAGAATCGAATAAATTTATTATTGAATTAGCATTTAATTTTCACAGTATAATATTCATCTGCCTTAAATATCAGTTAGATTTTTAGACAAATAAAGTACGTTTTGTTTCCAATAAAATCAGTGCAACTACTAACTTAGCATTTATTTATTTTTTTAACTGAAAATAATTTTAAACTTTCAAAAATCATATCTAAACGTATAATTTGCTCTCATATTTATTCATCTTGGTAATCGTTGAAATAACAAATACATATAGTATCATTGATATTCGAACAAAAAATATGTGAATATCTGATACTTTGAATATTATGAGGTCCGAGATTTAAAATCTTATATCTTATTAGCCTATTAAATATATATTGTTAGTTTGAGTTTATTTGAATAAATATAAAATAAAGAATCTAATTTTAAGTAAAAAATTGGCTTGTATAATTGCCCTGATTTAAATCTTTGTCAATTTCGCGTTTTGCCAATAAATATAAGAATAAATATAAAATGATGAACAAAAAAATAAGGAAAAAAAAGGGTAAATAGTAGTGTTGTGTTAAACGGCTCGATTTAAGCCAATGGCTAACTCAATATTTTAGCCAAAAAAATATTGTCTAAGCCTCCAGATTTCGTTAATAGATGTTCATACCTTTGTGCCACCTTTGAGCAAGATCTTAAGGATTGCATAATATTTTTCCTAATAAAGCTCAAAATAAGCCGTTTAACAACACTAGTAAATAATTTTATTACCTTTATTTGTGATGCTAATTAATATATCGAATGATGAAAAAAAATGCCCAATTTATGGCATCAACTTTTTGATAAATTTATTATATTTTCTTTAAATTATTCTTCTTTTTTTTTGTCGCAAGTTCATAATTTAATTAACTATATAAACTTCATAAAATAAAAAATTTTGTTTAAAAAAAATGTATTTTTTTTTTGTGGTATGATAAAATTTAAATTTTTTTTATTAACAAAAATTATTACAATACAATATTTTTCTTTCATAAAAAATATATATATATATATTTAGGTTAAATTATATTATAATTTTCAATAAAAATGTAAATTGTAAAATGTAAAAAAATCATTTTTCTTCTTTTTTAAACAAAATTATTAAATTTACATTTAAAAACATGTAAAAAATTTAATATTTTCGTTTTTTTATTTTATTCTTAAAGGGATATTATATTATATTGTTATTATTATTTTAAAGGCAAATATTTTGAAAAAAATTTTTTTTTAAAAAAAAATTACAAAATTTTGAAAAAAAAATACATAATTTAATTATATTTTTTAAAAAAAAATAGAAGAAGCAATCATAATGTTACATAATTATAATAATTTATTTTTTTAAAAAAAAAATATATAGAAAAATGAAAATTTTTAAAAAAATTCGTCTTACAAAACTGAATTATTTGATTGATAATTAAATGATTATATTATTATATGGGTGGGTTAGTATGATACGGGCGGAAATAGATTATTCATAACTTCTTGACTTTTTCAGATTTGGGGTAGCGTGGAAAAAAGTACATAACTCCATTGAGCCACGCCCCCCTCCCCCCCCCCCTGATGACTAAAATTGGTGTGGTTATGAAACCACTTGGGGTCTCTCCCTCCACCCCCCCCCCCCCCTTCTTTCGAATCTGGAAATATATATGATAATTCTAAAAATGTTTTCACTGTCAGGAATTTGACTGAAATTAAGAAGAGAGGCGAATTATTTAGGTGGATTGGTAAACGGGGAGCAAATATTTGGGGTAATAAAGGAAGTGGAGGAGAAAGCCTACGTTAATATGTTAACATCAGAAAAGGATATGTAAAGTTCTAAATATAATATAAATAATATATTTTGGGATAGATTTTGTATTTTTATGAATATTTTGATATTTCGGGAATACGGAATTCCGTTTTCCGGTTAAGTCGGGAAAATATTTTTCCTTCCTAAGGAGTATTGAAAACTATTAGTCTCTCGTAGATCTCTCAGTAAAAAAAGTAACCAATTAGATGTACATCTTATTACAAATTTCGTTTTATAGAAAGGTTTGGGGTTAGATTTGATATTTTTTTTTTAAAAAAAAAGAATATTTAATCGACTTTGAAATCAATATATAAATTTTCTTTTATCATTGTTATTATTTCGTTCGCAATTACTTTTTCTCTCTTTTTTTAAAAAAAATTCAAATCTCAAATTATTTTATCTGAAATCCAAACAACAAATATTTTTTTTTAAATTTAAACACTTACAAAAACTTAAAAAACTTTATCCAAATAAAAGGAAAATATATCGAAATTTTAAATTCTTTCAAGACGTTGTTTTGGAAGGGAAATACTGCACCCTGAACACTTTTTGTATATTTATAAAATTAATTTCCAATCTAGATCAATTTTATTTTCATATAAAAGAAATCGCGTTGTGTCATTTTTTTTTACTCTAAAACCATCTTCCTTAAAAAGGAGGATAATTGCATCAAAAGTTAAAAAAAAAGAAAGGAAGGAGATCTATAGTTTAATTAGTAAATAATAGTCACATAAAAGTAAAAATATTTTCTTTCTAAAATAAATAAAAATAAAATAAATTTCAAAATTATGTTACTTCAAAAATGACAAATTTTTCTTTTCCTATGGCTATTTCTTATCCTCGTTCAATCATAATATATTTTAAATTTAAAACATTATATTTTACTTTGTAATGATGTTAATGGTTATATCTAAGCAATATATATATATAAAATAACTTAAAATTACCTTTAAAAAAAATACAATCAAACTGGTTATTGTTATGTAAGTTTTTTAACATTAAATCACTTATATAATAATTACTAATAAATAGTTTTTTTTAAATTATATATATATATATTGATTTAAGATAATTTGAAAGTATAACTAACAAAAAAAAAGAGATAGAAAATTCTTCTTTACCCCCTTTTTTTAATTTTTTTTATCATTATTCATAATTTTTTTAGTATTCTTTTTCCGACATCAAGGACACTCTTTAATAAATAAATTATTACCAAGAACTTCAGCATCTTTCAACAGGTGACGGCTAAAGATCTGACATTCAGACCATTATCCCCTGTGCTATTGGCAAATTTTGGGATTATTCATCCTTTCCCAAAAATATAATTAGCAACTTGCTTATTCTATACAGCATATTCTCGCCAATTGCAATTTCTACTAACGGACAGTTTGATCTATTCACCTTTCGTTTTTTTTAAAATAAATTTAGCTCACAAAAATTACAGACACATTAAACCTAAAGAATTCTCATTCCTTATGCAGAACATACAAATAAACATGTTTAAATTTAATTATTGTTCCATCTTAGGAACACAATTTTGATTTTCTTAAAAAAAATTTTAATTTTTTTTTATATAGTTTCACGTTAATAACTTTTTAGTTTTATACAAACTTCACATATTTCTTATATATTAGAACCATTAATAAAATATTTAAATTTGTTCCAATAAAAATAAAAGATTCACCTTTCTAACCTCGTTTTTTAAAATATATAGGAAAACTATATGTTTTAGTTCTATTGAGTTTTTTATTTAAAAAAAAATCGCTAAAATGGAGGAAATAGCTATTTCCCTATTTTTAGGCATGGTCAAAGATAGGATTATTTCTAAACAGCTGTCTATCTAGCTCTCACTTGCTTATAAAAAATGGTAAATATAGCTCCCTTTTAAACAGCCTAAAAATGAAAATAGGCTTTTCAGAAAAATAATTTTAAATTTGCAAGCAATATTTATTCAATATACACACTCCAAAACCAGAATAAGGTGTCATAGCTAATAGGCTGAATAGTCCCAGGATAAATAAATTTAATAAATAATCTCAGCTTTGACACCGCCTTAAGAATTTTATATATAACTGTGTTTAATTTTCCCTAACTTCTAATATTATTTTCAATATTGCCTTAAAAATTTTTCTGAGATATAATGTAAGATTCTCAATTTTTTACGATTTAGAACCCTATCCCAAACAAGCTGTCTTGATATTCATGGCGGAGAACTGCAATAAACGGGTTTTAACAAAAAAACTTAAACATTTGGTGGGCGGGTTAAGAAATATTTTCTAAATGCTGAGCAGATATATTTGAAAGTATATTTTGGGGCAAAATGAATAGAAAAAAAAATCCGTATTGCATATTTATATATAAGTTTTTTAAAAAAAAATATATATATATAATAAATACTTAAATAAAATAAATAAGGAACGTAAACCAACCAATCAAATCATTTTTAAAACATTGGGCTGGCTAGGTAATTTTATAAGTAAATGAGCAGAGAGCCGGTTAATTTTTTTTTAGTTGGGTTAAACCTGCTACAAAATAAAAAAATACATTTTTCTCGATATATAAAATTGTTTAAATTTGATTATGGTAAGGAAGGTCTCTTGGAATCTGTAAAATGTTGAAATTATTGTTTGTCACCCCCTCTCCCATTCTCCCCACAGCATATGTTTTAACCAATGACATATATAATACCTAGACTAACGATTCATTCATTAAAAGTGTACATCAATGCAAATCTGCTGGAGACGCCATCTTGGTTACACTAATAATTATTAATATTTTTAAACGAGAGCCTAATTTATTTCCTATATCTGATGCAAACTTTATTAAAGAATTACCGGATCATCGAGATGATAAGGAAGCAAGTTATCAATTTAATAGTAGTTTTTAACGTGAGAATAATTACTATATATGTTACCAAAATGGCGGGTCCAGTTGAAGATGCTTAAAAATGCATTTTAATGAATGAAACGTCAGGCTAGGTATTATATATGTCATTGGTTTAAACACCAAACTCAACATGATGGTTGGAGAGGAGGTGGGTGGGGGGGGGGGGGTTTACATAATAATTGTGTCATTTACATTTTCACGGGGTCATTTTAATTTAAAATAGTGATGATCAAGTCAAATGTTGTGGAAAATAAAAATTTAATAAATGTGTTACTACAAAACGATTTAAATTCTAAAAAATCCCCCTATATACACTAGTACATATCGGATGACACTAGCACGATTTAACCCAACCCTAAAGAGTTAAACCATATTACCCCCCCCCCCCCTTATTTCCAACTAAAAATAGAGTATTATAATTATTGAACTTTCTTTTTATTTTTGTACATTTTTTTGGGAAAAATCTTAAAAAATTTTTAAATAAAATTTTTTTTTTCTTTTTCAGGTGAATAAATTTATTGTTTTTGTTTTTTATAATTTATTTTTAAAGAAGAAAAAAATTATTATAATAATTATAATAATAACCTCAAATTATTCGCTTATTATTTTAATTATATATATTTTATATAAATGCATGATATTTATTATATTAAATTAGTATTAAAATTCTTCAAAAAAATAAGAATTTTGTGATAGTTTTTATTTTTAATGATTTGATACATTAATAAATACAACAAAAAACGCGTTACTTTTTTTTAAAAAAAATGACAAATCTTTTAATCAATTAAAAAAAAAATACAAAATCACCGAAAATAAAGAAGATATATTTTGTTATTTTTTGATCAAAAAAATATGAGGAAATTTATGAAGATGAAAAGAGAAAAATAAAAATAAATATATATATATTTTTAAATAAATTACTAAATTAAAACAAGAATTATTTAGAAAATTTTTTTCTGACCATATACATATATATGCAGTGTTGACCAAATTTGATGGTAAACATTTCCATATTTTTTTAAATTTATTTGAGAATAAAATTATTTAAATTCGCAAAAAAAATTGTTAAAATAATATATCAAGTGTTGTTAAACGGCTAACTAAATGATTTATTCAGAAAAATATTATGCAAGACTAAAGATTTTGCCGATAGATGACACAAAGGTATGTAAATCTATTAGCGAAATTCCGAGGCTTAGGAATTATTTTTCCGGCTAAAATATTAGCCGCTTTTAAAAATCGGCTTAAATCTAGCCGTTTAACAACACTAAACAGATCTATATGTTCTTATCAATTTTTTTTACAAGTTAAATAGCTTTATTTACAAACGAATTTCAAAAAAAATATGGAAATATTTTGGAATTAAATCCGTTTAACACTTGTATATTTAAATTTCGATTTTCTAGAAGGAAAAAAAATAAATGTTAGGAAAAGTATTGTATTATGATATCCTTGTTGACCACGAAAATTTGAAATATTTTGAAATTTTTTTTTTAGACATTTATGAATTATGAAATTTAAATTATATTAAAAAGCCTTAAGGTTATATATATATTTTTTTTGTCATTTTTCTTTTTATTAGTAGGAAAAAAAAATTATTTTATACTTGAGAAGAAGAAAATATAGCTCAGAGGACAATTTAAAATAATGAAGATAATTAGTTTATGTAAAACCACGTATTTTAGGGAGAAATCTTATTGAATAACCCAGTCGTTAACTTAGTTGTAGGACACAGATTTGCAATGAAACACAGGGCTAAACAAGTACGCCTTGTGTCATGAAAGACTCAAATTTCTATAGAATATCAATTGTTTTTATACTGCCTGTTTATCTTCATAAATATTTCTGGCTGAGCCCCTAGGGGAGGGGGGGGGGTAATTTTTTTAAAGTTTATATTCTAGATTCTAAAAAATGTTTAGGCTATCATAATAAAATTTGTCCAAGGACTCTATTACATAGGTTGTGATAAAGTGATTAAGTAAATTTACAGGGCATATGGTAATGCGTCATGTGAGGAGATGATCAAAATTAAATACAAATCTGTGATGCACTCCGTGTTTATAAACTTGCTAATTCTAACATAAAAATTCCTAATATTCAACCAAGATTCAAATGCAACCTTATCACCGTAATAGAGTGTAGCAACCATTCAGGCACGAAATCGAGGGTGGAGGGGATCCCTTCTTTGCAAATTTATCTATTCTCGTAAATATTATCTTAGGCTAATAGACCTCACTCCCTAACAATATATTATCTTAGGCTAATAGACCTCACTCCCTAACAATATATCATCACTGTAATTTGAAAGAAAAATTAGTAAAAGTTAATAACATTTTAAAATAACCACTAAAATTTAAATTTTTTAGAAAAAAACATATTTTTATAAAAAAAATAAATAAGTGAATCCCCAAAATTATTATTATAATTGAATATAGCCAAAGGCTTACAATGGTGGACAGTGGCGTAGCTAGGAATTTTCCTTAGAGGGGGTCCATACATATGAAAGCCTGGGGGCTTCGCCCCCCCCCCAGACCCCCTTTAACGGGCCTTCGGCCGTTTTACCCGACACCATATAGGCCTAAAACGAATTATTTGTTATTTGATCTTCGATTCGATTCGTATTTTACGAATACGAATAACACAATTATTCGATTCAAAATTTCGAATCGAATATGAATAATGAGGAAAATTATTCGTATTATTCGAAATTATTTATATATAAATATTCGTAATTATTCGCAAATATTTTATTGCAAGTAAAATAAAAAGAAGTAATTAAATTTTCCTAGTGAATATCATTTCGTTTTATTTTATTTCCTATTATCAAATATCAAATCATAATAAGTTATATTTGCTGAAAAAGTTTAATGGAAGAAAAGGAAAAGCTTCAAAGTAAAATATAATTATTTTATTTTGATTGTTTCTCTTTAATCATTTTTGATGTTATGAACAAATCAAAACATTTTTATAGAGTGTGCCTCTTTCCCATATTCTCGAGCTAATAATTTTATAAGATGTTGATTTTCTTGATAATATTGCTGATATCATGTTAGCCAAAACAAAAAAGATAGCCCAAATTTGCTTACATATCTAAGATCATTGTGAAAAATACATCTATTTTTTATATGATATATATTTTTCTAAACTAGCAATTTTACACATTTATGAATTAGAATGTTATATTCTAAAATAATAATAATATAGTATATTATATTGGGTTCGGTCTTTAATAAATACAGTATTTTCCATAATCTAATATAAACCTCAACCCTTATCTTTGCCTTTGTAGCATGGCCATAGGCTAATTACTATGTTCCCGGATTTGGTATTTGTACTTAATCCGAACCGTGTAACTCGGTAAAGGCTAAAAGATACTTATTAGCTACTTCGATCTGCTCAGCAGTCGTAAGTGTCCTTTATATTTTACCGAATGTATTGGTTTTACTGTCTAATAATATCAGTATTTCTCCTGATTTTATCTAAACACTAACCCTTATCTTTATTGCATTACCTAAGCTAACCTAATGTGGTGCACGAGTATTAATTCTATATGATAATCAATAGAATTAGAAAAATATAAAAAAATTCATTTAAAAACTTAAACATTAAGTCTTTAATCTGAACTGCATAGTTTGGTAAAAACTAAAAGTTATCTGATAAATAATAGAATATCTATTAATATAATATTGTGCCTAGATTAACCCTAAAAGAGCTTTAGCATGAATCACATAGAATAAAATTTAATCATTCTTCCCCCTAGTACGGGATAAATAAATTTATTTAAAAAAAAATAAACTCATCAATACATTATATAAAAACTTGCCCTTAGTAGTTATATTTATTAATTTATATATTAAAATAATAATACATTTAATATATATGAAAAATAATCAATATAGATTAAAACGACCTTATAAATAATACTAATTACAAGATTAAATAAATACAAATTAGAATGATATATTTTTTTTAAAGAAGAACTCTCCCTTTATTATAAAAACTTATTTACAAAAATTAAAACATAACGCAAACATTTATATATATATACTATTGAAATGAAAATATATTTTAAAAAACAAATAAGGATATATTAAAAATTAAATATAAAAACAATATACGTATATGGGGAAAAAGATAAAAAAGAACTAAGAAAAAAATATATTTAAAAAAAGTACATATCGCCCTAGAGATGAGTAAATGCTTAAAAAATTGGACCGTCAGATTTCTAGAAAAATCTGCTGACGAAAATAAAATCCTTTATTGGGCTCCCCTAAAATCTGTTTCATTTTTTTAGCATATATTAAGTTACTTTTATAAAAATTATTAATATTATGATTATATAATTACATATGATGTTGCATAAGAATAATGTTTTAAGTTATACCTTTTATTATTACCGATTCTATAAGAATGACATGTAAAATAATTGAATAATAATATATTCTATATTCTACTGTAAAAGAATAATTTTAGATAAATGTAGTTAGAATAACAAATTTAAAATGATATATTAAGTAAGTTTCATTAAAATTATTAATATTGCAATTATATAATTACATATATAGTTGTAATTAATACGATATAATATTTATTGTTCTTTCCAATGGTTAATTCTTCATTAATATTTATTGCATGAGAATGACATCTCAAATAATTTCCATTTCCATATTTTGCTACAATATATTTATTTTCTTTAATGTAAGTTGTTAAAATTTTTGACCATATAAATATTTCTAGCAATATAAAAAAACAGCTGATATAACATTTTTTTTGTGGAGATTCCAGTATACGGTTTTTAAATGAAAATGAATCTGTTTGAGGGCGAGATTAAAAAGAAGCCTGTGCAATCATTAAGAGGGGCTAGTAAAAATGTAAATTCTCTTTTATATCTATATCTATTTATAATATTAGCTTGTCAAAGAAAACTTAATTAATAAGGTTTACGCTGAAAGGAAGCAACGTGAAGTATGTGTTTAAATGAAATAAAGATAATTACATGATTAATTATAGTTATTGCGATTGAAAAATATTAGTGCTGTGAAAATTCAAGCTATTTATAGAGGTTATAATTCAAGGAAAAATCAGGTAATGACATAAGATATATTTATGCTAAATTTCAAAAATAGAAATTACACCACAGGAATACTTATGATGAACTTTTTAAAGATTTAAACAATACACCATTAAATAGTAGTGAGTTGTATAAAAGATTTTACAATTGCGCAATTCACATTATTTTCTTTTTTGATAAATCTTTGGATATTGATAGATTGGTACATTAGATACTTATAAGAAATCTATTATATCACTTATTTTTATATCAGCTCAATTTGGGTAAATCCTATCTGAACATAATTACTGCAAAAGAATTTGATGGATCTTTAAACTTTAGAATTATATTTCAGGGTGAAATACATCTGATTGGGAAATTTTATTCCTTATTTTTAAAGTAAATTTAATAATTTATTATTTAAATTTATCCAATTAGCAAAGGTATATTTTAGATGATTAAGTTATAAAAGTAATTTATTGATGTATGAGTATAAAATAAGTTTAATTAATATTTTTAACTATTGATATTTCAGATATATATTTAATTATAGATATTTGAGATTTCCTTTAATAAAAGGTCAACAAAATCAAAAAATTGTCCAATCTATCATAATAAAATTTTTTATCTCAGTAGTCAGCACCCTTGGCCACTTTGGCGTGAAAGATCTGATTTCATTCTATAAACCTTTAAATTAAGCTCTTACAGGAAATCCCTCAAATTTTAAAACAAAAATCTAAATTGAAATTCACATAGGAAGATTCATTTATCATTTTAATACATTTCATTCTTAATTTTTTAAATATTTATTTTCTATTTTTAGTTCTTATTTATTATTTTAAAATATTTTATAGTTTTTAGTGAAAATTTATATATATTTAACCAATTTTCTATATATTTAATTGTAAGTGCAATAGATATTGGGAGATATCAAATACCATTCAGAATTTTTGAAGTAACCAATTCTATGAAGAAAGGCTTTGAATTTCATGATAAGATAATTTTATACAAGTATATGGTCACAAAAAGTTAGCATTTATTTTATCTATATTTAAACATTCATACACATCATTTTCTCAATATGCAAAAAAAATATTTGGTTTAAACAAAAGGAATTTATTCACAATTTAAATTTAAAAAATTTTAATAATATATTCATCTGATATCTCTTCCAAAATAATTCAAATTAGCCTTTTCAAATTATAGACTATTTTTCCATCCTGTTGAATTTCTTGGTCAATAGATGCCCACCCACTATTCATTCACCCAGTGATGCCATTTTACTTCCTCTGGAAATTGAATCTACATTGTATCTAATGTTTTATCCAATATATCTCATGGATGATAATGTGCAGGACAAAATTATTTTGAATTCATCTCCCCCACATCAAAAGTAATGAACCAAATTTATATATTTTTTAAAACTATAAATTGTTTAAATATTCTTGTTTTTCTCTTTTGCAGAGGTATCTTGATATATAGGGCATACCAAGTGTTTAATCATAATGGAAATCCTCGATTTCATTAGCTGATAATAAGTGTAAATAATGTACCAACTGCACTATTAAGTAGTTAACACATTGTTTAATATAAAATAATTGCTAATCTTCCTCGCGTAATTGGTCAATTAATTACGTTTGGTAATTCTGTGACATGTACACCAGGCCTATGTCCTAAGGGAGCAATTACATTAGCGGGATTTTGTTTGTAAATTAAAAAAAAACAGCCATAGTTCAGCAAGTAATGACGCAAAATAATTGTGCTTCATTTTTATTTTTGGCAACAAGCCAATTTTCTCTCATCACTAGTCCTGTATGCTATCCATTCCCCCCCCCCCTTAAAAAAATGCTATAACTTATATAAAGATAAAAAATTTAAGCATTTATTTGGATTTTCCCAATTGGATTGATTTTGATAGTCTGTGCTGATCTGTCAGGCTGCATGTTGGTACCAGGTTAGATATCTGGATCCACCAAAAAAGATGGCATCGATTCACTCTGATATATTTTTTTATGGTTATTTATTGGAATATGCCCTCCCATTAGATGTCCCAAAATTACAAACGTACGGAAAACTATTTGAAACTTTATTTTTCATATTTCGTAACCATCAAGTATAAAAGGGAATGGCCTATTTATCTTTATAACCAAGGTAATTGTCATACTCTCCAATATTTGGCAATATTCAAAATCTTACAATAAATATATATAATTTTTTTTTATAAAATATACAATTATTCCTCGTATAGAAAAACTAATAAACTGTTTGCACCATTTTTTTTATCCATCCATCTCTAAAAATTCAATAGGAATCAAAATAATTTTTTTTAGCAGAATCTAGTTAACAATATATCTTTAGTTTGATTACAATATTTCGGAGACTTCCGGAAATATTGATCTAAAAATTGTGATATTATATTTTTGAAAATTAATATAAACTAAATAAATAATATTTGTCACTTTGTCCGTCATCCATTGCATAAAGTAAAATTTGTCTTGCTAGTTTTTGTAATGAAATAAACTCGGACATATTATTATTAAAAGAAATTTAATTCAAATAATATTTTTAATATAAATAAATGTTGAAATAAAATTTTATCAAAATGTATCTACATATAGTTATAGATACTTTTTATAAAAGTTTATCTAGATATAGATACAACATTTTTGTATCTATATACATTAACAAACCTGCAAATTTGGAATGATAGTTTTATATAAGTTGAGTAGGTGTAGATAGATAAAAAATAAATTATATAATACAATTATAACATTAATTTTTTTAAATTCATTCATTTTTGATAATTTTAAAGAGGAAATTCATTATATTTTACAGACCAATCACGTGATGAGGAATAAAACTATGCTATGTTAACTTAATTTATTATATATTTTCTTGATCATTATGCGTTTATAGAAATGGAAACGATTTTATCTTCGTTTAAAATAAACATAATCTTTGTCACATCACATCTTATAATTCAGCTGGTAGATTTATTTCATTATTCCATAAAAAATATGAAATGACAAATTTTCAACAATTTTTCCTTCAAACTAAGAAATCATATTTTCAACGAGCAGACAGAACCTTCAAATACTGAAGAAATTATTTTTTTCAAATTAATTATTGATATTTTATCTGTAAACTAAGAGACCGTAATACCGTGTGGCGATACTTTTGCTCGCAGGTCTTGAGTTCCCCTTTGTGCTACGTAATGGGAAAAACGTACCATTTGATCTTTTCCCATCTTTTGGCGCCTAAAAATGTGTTCCCCATTCGATCATTTTTGATTCATCTTTACTCCGATACCACCTTTGCAATGGCGCGAAATGCCGAACACGATTATATCATCGATGGGGGTGGAATATACTTCCTAAATAGTTATTGTCGGATAGCCTATCACTGCTTAGTAGGGGGATCCGATTTTCATCGAAATCTTGTATGCCAAAGAAATTCTACCGATATTAATGGTAGCACGACTGTCAATCACGAATTAACATGTATGCACTTCGCCATTCTTAGCCGATTATTGGATAATTCATTGTTTTCCTCCAAGCAAGGCGTATTTTTGCAGGACGAGAAATCCGGGGAGAATGTTGGGACGAACGCGGAAACTAAAACGAAGTACATGAATAATGCTTATATCTATCACAATATAGATATCGCGGTGGATAAAGGGCTTTTATCGCCCCTGGTGGAAGAATTCGATGTGTCGGATAAATCGGATAACGAAGATGGTGAGTGGGTTTAAATATCTTTTTCCTTCAATTTATTTAATATAGAATTAAATAACTAACGACTTCCCCCTAGCCCCCTTGGGTCAAAGGGGAAGGTTTTTGGCCGGTTAACTGAGGTGGAGGTATAATTATTTTTATGCTGAGTTTGGTGTGCGGTTCATCCCGACTCATGTACGCCACTTTTATTTGAATAAGGTCACCTTTTTTGGCTAATCTATGCAAAAAAAAACTATTTTTTTTAGAAGACATGGAACCCAGTACATCGACCGAAACCAACGCCGAAAATCTAATTCTCTTAAAGCCCAATAACGACTTATCCCCCAATAAAAACGACATAAACGTAATCGTAAAGCCTGCCACCCTGTTACAGGACTTGAAATGCTTACTGAATAGCGATCTCAACGTCGAAATGACTAACACCTTTTTGTCCTACCTTTGCGAACGCATAACTACCAAAAATTCTTCGCCCCATTCTGATAAATCAGGCATCGAGGACACGGCGAAATCCACCCAGATTTCAAGCATGGAGAACATCGTGACGGTAGCTTACACGGCCCTGATGCTGATAAATTATCGTTGCCAGGAAGAGGACAGTAAAAGCGACAGGAAAGACTCCACTGTAAACATAAAGGAAGGCGCCCTCCTACTCAAACTGGCTTACAATTACTCGTTTCTTGCCGTGCTATGGGGCTTCGGTATCAAACCTGCCCTTGAAACCAATAGTTTTGGGTTATTTTCTCATACATTCAATTATTGGTTGTAAATTACTTGACTCATTTTCTCAGTACTAGCATCCATTTTTTTTTAAACTTAAGTCGATATAAGTAGCCCACTCCAGCGAAGGCCTAGGAAAATCGGATTCATCATTTCATCAATAATTATTAAATTAAAATTTTTCTTTTTTCGAAATCCTTTTCGTAGTCGATCGGGAAAATCGCTATACGAGCTATTTCAGACACCTTACTTGGACAATCACCTAACCTCGCCCTCCTCTGTATGTTCTGACCCTAAAGGGTTCCTCATAGATTTCACCAGGAACGTCGAAGTGTATTGCCATCTATTGAGTCTGACTCTTAGCACTATACGCGACGGGGAACTTAGAAACATTTGCAGGCTTAGACGTAGTGAGAGAGAAGATGGGAATTCTAGGTTGCCAGAGTATTATAGAAGTATATTTTGGACATATAACGACGATAATAAGGAAAAAAAATGAGAGGGGTAAAAAGATAGAAAGATTGATAGAAAAATAGAGAGGAAAGAAATATAGATGCTTAAGAAAATAAATGGAGGGAGGGGGGTGGTCATATCACAAAAATAGATTTAATAATAATCGATAATATATGTGACACCAAAAATATCGAATCTTATTGTCACATCCACATGAACCTGACGTTTATAACTAAATATGGGCGATGGTTTTCGGAAGGTTCATAGGTCGCACATGCTGCTATACTTAGTAAGTGTCTGTCATCGAAGTTTTGCTAATTTTTAAATGATGAGAGTACGAAGGGAAAAATCGGAAAATGAACCCTAATTTTTTTTAGCGACTAAATTTTCTTCTTCTTCCCTTTCTCAGAACAAGTCCTCCTGAACGTCTTGGACACCATCAAGTTGTTCAAACGTTTTACTTTATACATTCTCGATTACCTGATTCCTCTCAACGTTACCTTATTGGTCAAGAAAAACTGCGCTACTTTTTATACGTCCCGTTATATCTGGGTGAAAATTTTTAAGGTATATATATATATAATTCTACCATGTTTGGAATAACCTATCTTATGAATTGTAGGCAACGATTTGTTTGTATAGTTATAAATCACAGAGGGAAGTTTTAAACATATTATGTATGATATTAGTTATAGCTTTAAAATAAGGAAATGAATCAGTATCAATACGACCTAGTAAGCAGACGATAAAAGATTTAATGTGCGAATTTTTAAAATAAAATTTTTAGAAACGATATTTTGCGTGATGACATATTATTATAATATAATACTATATTAACTGACGATCATTCATTTTAATGTGTATAAATGCAAATATGGTTGGTATTCCGGTTTTCCATATGTAAATAATTTATATCAAAATCATTATTTGTGAAAGCAAAATGGCGTCATGCATTCAACGATGCTTCATAATACATTTTAGATGCGTTGTTTCATAAAAAAAAAATTACTCGGCAGTTAAATTTAGGACTAGTGCTACAAAATACACTAGTCGGTAGATAACCTAGTGCTGAAAAATTATTTAAAACTGGTTATACTTATAATATCTAGTAAGGGCCAAGACCTGCTGTTAGCTAGTTAATTCACCATATATTAGATATGGTCAAAGGCTTGGTGAGATGTAGTTTTTCTCTAATTATAATTAAATTTTTAAATTTTAAAATTATCTTAAAATAAATTTGTTATGTCATTTGTTTGATCTCTTCAAAAACCATATGGAGCAGAGTTGGCTTTACAGTTAAGAAAAAGAGTACACATAAATTTTTATATATGGACGACGATTTAAATATTTATTTATTATGGGACTATTTACCGACCACGTGTCGTGTAAGTAATAGTCTAAATTTATATATAATAATAATTAATTATTATAGGTGTTTTAAAATCTTGTTATGATATGACCAAATTTCACCTAACATATATTTTTAAATTTAATTATTATTCCATTCCCTGTAGGCATTTCTTAGGAATATACGATCCCTGCTAAGTTGACAAAAATGCGATTTTATTTTTTAAGAGGGGGGGGGGCTTTAAAATGAATGAATTTTAAAATAGATATAAGAATCGAATAAATATAGTAGAGATATATATTTTTTAATATTAGATTTGCACATCCCTCCTGAGAAAACTCTATTTACGGAATTCCAGGTTAGAATTTACGGATCCTAAGATATGGTTGATCGAAAATTACGTCATTTCCGATCAAATTAATCAGGTAAGTTCTTTTGGATAAATTAAATTTATTTGCTGGAAAGGGACGGGATAGAAGATTATAGAGTCCCGCCTATGTCCAACGCGACTCAAGACGGTTTATAGGCTTTTCGTCTTAGCTCCACTTGGTCCATCAGCTGTCTCCGAATTTTTAAATGGCTATGACTTTTTAGGGGCAGTAAATTTATCAAAATGGACAGTATTCTTTTATCAAAAAAATAAACAATTTGGGCTGTATTTATATAATTTTAAGCAGTAAAAAAAAATTAAAGTTGAATTGTAACTAAAATTGTATTTATATTACAATATTTATTTGAAAGATGTTTGGTATCTATTTAAATATCTTTTTATCATTAGCTATCAAGTATATACAGTGTTGTGATGATTAATGAAACATATTGACGATTATTAAAAGCCATCCATATAAAAATATTTTGTTTGCAAAAATAATTAAAATATAGACAAAGCATTATTAAAAATTCTTTTATTCCTCCTTGTGTTATTTTAATTATTTTTGCAAACTGAATATTTTTATATAGATGGGTTTTAATTTAATCTTCAACATGTTTCATTAAATCATCACAACACTGTAATATGAAATTTAATATATCGAATATGAAAATGTTTGTGAATTAAATAAAATATCGTATATGTTATGGAATTGCAGCTTTTTATTGAAAATAATTCATTTTTATATATATAAATAATATTTATTTAAAACATACATATGATTATACAGCAAGAGCTTTTTAATATACCAATATCTCGTTTATTATAAGTTATCAAGAATATTTTATAAAAATTTACATATCTAATATATAAAAATTAGTAAATTAACAAACATAACAAAAATTAGATCTAGTATGGAATTGCAGTTTATTGTTGCACATTTTGTCGTTTGAGCAAATCTAAAGAATAATTTGAAATCTTTATATCTACATAATAATTAAATCTCCCAAAATCCTGCCTTCAGCCTCATCATGGCGGGGGAGTGGCTTGGCGGCTAATGGAGGTTTAAAATCCCTGTGGTCTGGATCAAGAATAGGGTCACCGTCTCCCTCGACGTGATGTAAAAACCACCTAAAGGGGTTGATGTTAGGAAGGACATCCGATTTTTAAAACTTGCTCGAGATACAGAAAATACCCCCATGAGCCTCCTCATCCGCCTACGACAAAAAGAAATGGAAAACCTGCTGAAACCACGATTCGTAAAAATGACACACGGCCATTAACGACCTGATAATATGTGGAGAAACCAGTTTACGGGAGATAGAGTAAGAGTTGCCATATGGAATGTTGGGAGCATGACGGGAAGAGCGGGAGAAGTGGTCGATATATTGCATAGAAGGCATATAGATGTGTGTTGCATACAAGAGACCAGATGGAAAGGTAATGGCGCAAGAATTATTGGCAGGGCAAGTGAAAAGTATAAATATTTCTGGAAAGGAGGTAATGATGGTAAGACTCGCTTTGGCGTATTGGTTGCAGAGAAATTGGTGGACAAAATAATCTAAGTAAGAAGAATATGATAACCTGGAAAATTATATATTAACTGCCCAAAAATCTAAAATGTCTACTAAATGTTTTTCCTACTGCCTTTTTAATCAAAATACTGTCCATTTTGATTTATTTTACTGCCCATTTTTTTAATAAAAAAAACTGCCCGAATAATTTGTTCTCTTTTTGAATTATAAATTAGGAAATTTAAAAAATAAAAAAAAAATTTATATTATAATTTTGGGCTAATATGCTAGAATTTTCTAAAAGTTTTTTTTTCCCCATGGATTTCTTCAACCAGTCGTTTTCTTTCGTGGATGCCACACGATTGGCCAATATTTTATTGGTATTGTTACAGCTCGGGTCATTGGTGGACAGCTTCGCGGGACTTTAAAAAATGTGGTGTATAAGATGAGAGATAACGGAAATAGAAAAAAAGGCTCATATAATGAATTAAAATGTTTTAAATAAAATAGAGTTATTTATTTTAAAAAAATATTTTGTTTTTCTTGCTTATATCTCCTTTACCTCCCCCCCCCCCCCCATACTCCCGCCTTTTCTTTCATGAAAATCGTATTAATTATTATATTAAAAATCTCCAAAAAAAATGAAAAAGACTAACGTCGAAAATTTTAACAAACTTTTCAACGTCGACGCCAAAGACCCTCTTACCGTTTACGAAAAGGGTGCCAAAATGGCTTTCAAAAAAGATGATAATTTTTGGTCCCCGACAAAATATCAAAGTATAATTTTTTTTTTACAATTTACCAAAAACTCACGCAAAAAAAATATTTAAGGGCCGACATTTTGTGTAAAAAAATATTTTCTGGTCGGAACAGATGTTGGTAAAAAGATTTAAATTTAGGACAATTAAAATAAGTTTAAAAAAAATTATTCAAAATCAAAAATAAGGAAGCAAAAATATGTACGACGAATCAATCGATGAAAAAATAACGAATAATATCATAAGCAAAAAAAATAGATAACATATATTATAAGATAAATCCTCCCCCTCCCTCAAATCCTACCTTCAGTATCATCGTGGCAGGGGAGATGCAACATCTTTTAGCGACTAATAGAGATCTAAAAGGTTCCATGTGGTCTGGGTTTAGAGTAGGATAACCGTCTTCTCGACGGGGTGTAAAAACCACCTAAAGGGGGTTGATGTCAGCAAAGGCATCTGATTTTTGCTACAAAATTTCCTAATGATTAAATCAGCAGAGAGTACACTGGCCAACCTGGGTAAACCTGGAAATCGTCATTAAACGGAGAAGAAGAGATATTATAAGAGAAATATAAATTAATAAAAGGAAGGTAAGTAGTTAAGATATCATTCTAAGGCAGGGAATGCCAAAAAGGTGGAGACGGCAGATTTTGAGGTATGTTACTTTGTAAAAACGATCGCTTGTGTCTATTGCTACCCACAGTATTGATGAATTTAAAAGCCTCACTATCAAATAACATTTTGAGGGCATTGGAGATTATGGGCATCGACTATTTTTTGTTAAGCTGTAGTATTTGTTATTTTTTATATATAATTTTTGCCTTTTCTAGAGCAGAAAAGATTATATTTGACCTGTCCGCTAACTAAAGTCGCCTGTGGCCTTACACCATCGGCGAGCCCTTGACCAGGTGATAAATGCTATCAGTCAGGGGCTATTATTTAACTATCATTTATTAGTTTCACTAGCTCGAATGCTATGTTAAATTAAGAGCGCATAAGAGTATTTTGCTCATGAATTTATGGCGGGAATGTAAGGACTGTTAGTTGAATTAGATTCCATGAACTGTCATCAATTAACACAGGTGGATTGCACAACGAAATTGCAACAAAGGGCCATGTTATATAATAGTTTGTTTATATTAATCTCATTGAATATATTAAATTATTATGATCTTTTTTTAATTATTCCTCATGAAACATGCAGTCCTGATCCAGGACCCCAGACTCCTCAAGTCCGTGACCATTTTGAATTACGCACCATTCACTATTCCGTTCGAACAGAGGGCTAGCTTCTTTCGGAATTGGTATTCGGACTACGAGAAAGCCTGTATTTACCAGCGGGCCAACGCTAGGAGGCATCTCTTCTCCGATTTCGACTCCGCTGGCAGTTGGACCGTTGATGTCAAGATCAGAAGAACTCACCTCTACGAAGATAGTTACGAGAAGCTATCACCTATCAATGGTTTTAAGATTAAATATATATATAATATATTTTAGTTTTTATCACGTACTGGGCGTAAAAGGAACATATTTTAAAAAACAAAAAAATCAGAGTCTAATTCCTTTTAAACATTTGTGGGTGAGGTTCGATTAGGGTGTTCGTTAAAGGTTGAGTTCTGTGGGCTCAGCTCAGAAACCTTAATATCTTTTTGTTTTTTAAATCCCAATAATTGTTTAAACAAATATTTTCTCATAAAATCTTTGATAAACAATTGTACCTAAAAGAAAGAAGAAAGGGCAAGATCGGATATTCAACCCGTTTGTAACGGATAGTCTAACAAGGGGTTATGAGTTCAACGTATTCCGTATTGTTATCGAATGTTTTCTCTCAAATAATTGTAAAATTCTAAATTTTGGTAAGATTTTTTTTTATTTAAAAAAAAACAAAAAACAGAACCCAATCTTAAACTCAAGATGAGGGTCAAGATGGTAAATAGCGCGGGACTAGAAGAAGCGGGGATAGATGGGGGTGGAGTTTTTAGGGAATATCTCGGGCAGCTCCTTATAACGGCATTCGACGCCAACAGGGGCCTTTTCAAGCACACGTTTGTCTCCGATAACGAAGATAGCGTCAGGAGCGACATTGAAAGTTTATTTTGATTTTATTTATTTATTATAGAACGAGTTTATAACCGAATTCCTCTTAACCTGGGCGAAACATTGTAACTAGAATCCCTTATAAGCATTTCTTCCAGGAAATATTACCTTCGGGAAGGGGTTATGACATTACAAAACTAAATTATGATTATATACATTGTTCAAAATGGTGTTTTATTCATTTATTTGTCTTTTAACAGAGTTTGGAAGCTACCAGAAATGCATCGATATAGCTCAGTATCGGTAAACGATACCTTGTTAATATCGATATTTGGTGCATCTCTGTTAACACTCGCAATTATTTTTAATATGCAAAATTCAAAATAAAAAGTATAACTTTTAATTTCAAGATTTACCCTAATATTCGCCTAGAAAAAATTTCTCATAGATGCCCACTTTCGAAGTCAAATTGGTAGATATCTTTTTCTTTCTTTCTTAGAATTCTTTTCAGTGAAAAGAATCATAAACATAAGATGGAAAATCCTATGAAGTTGGGAAATAGGGATTTCAGGATTAAAAGAAAAGACCTGTCATTTAATCATCTTTTTAATATGGTGAACTCGGCACATGATAATAGAAAATGAGGGTTGACACTTTTACCCTAATTTTATATAAACTTTTATGATGTATTTTGCCCGGGAGTTGAAATTTCGGTATACCTTGGTTTTAAGCATCGGGAATTGGTTTTATCAGGAATATCCGAGTTCACACTACGATATATTCTTGGAAGGAAGGAAAGAAGTAAATTGGTTATATTAAATTAAAAAACAATAGACCCTATGGATACAACTGAGATTTCGAATATTCGCCACGAGGCCACACCGAAAGAATCCAATAATAATCTCGTTCAAAAGGCCAATACGAAATACACCAGCGATATCAACGAGGGCAATTTTGGCGCGGATAATTTGGCCATATACCCCAACCCCGATGTGTACAGCTTGGTATTTTACGACGAAGATATGGCCCGAAATAGGAAAGAAATTTTGAGGCATTACTATTTCCTAGGCCGGATGCTGGGGAAAGTAAAATATAGAGTCTTCCATTATATTAGTTTTTATCCTTTTTTTAAAGAAAGGGTGGAATTTTAAAGGATTAGTAAATGGAAAATAATAGGGAACAAAACAATAATATAACAACATTGAAGAGGGGTAGAGGAGAAGTCTGCCCTCTTTCAAATAAATCCCCTCCCTCCTCACTCTCGTTTCCTCTCCAAATAGATTTGATTCGAGTCACGTGAGTGAGAGAAAATAAGGCATGAAAAAAAATATCGAATACACAATTCAAAGAAGAGAAATTTGCTATATTATAAATCCTCTTTTTTTTGCACGGTGGTAAAATTATTTAGGCCCTTTACGAAAACTTGTTGGTCGAACTACCCCTGGCCCATTTTTTCCTTTCCAAAATTCTCGACTCCTTCAAAAATTTACGTCACACCTCGTTAGATAAGAAAGCCAATTACTCCGATTCAACCACTTGTTACAGAAACACGGACCTCAACGATTTGAGATCCATAGAACCGGTGCTTTACAAGAATTTAATGTACTTAGCTCGGTACCCAAAGCCGGACGAGATCGAAAGTGTATTCCTGCTGGATTTCTCCGTTCTAGAAGATAGGTATGATTCTATTTTCTATAATACTCTTTGCTAGAAAGCCTTTTATCTCCTTTTTTTTTAAAAATAAATCTTCATTTTATATCCCTTTAAAACTATAATTAATCACTCCTGATACATCTAAAGTATGAGTCCCGAATTTTCTATACCAGAAATCGAAAACCCAGTGGCTGACTGGCCAATAAGCCTAGTGAGAAAAAGTCCCACGAATTGTGACCCTTATAATTTTTTTATTACATTAAAAATGACTGCAAATATAGAATATAAATGGCGTATCGTTTGACGCGGAGCAGCAAATGGTTAATTTTGTTTTGTATAAACTGAAAAAGCTTTGAAAAGAATATATATTCTATAGTGAAAATAGATAGTTAGAAATTACCTAAAGAACTTTTTTCATTTTCGGAGAATTTATTGACAATTTAAGATGTTGGAAGGTGTAGATTTAAATATGTAAATGATAAGAGTTTAATCCAGATATCTAAACTTTTGACATTATTATTTATTTAAGGAGGTTAAAATAGCTAATAGATTTTGTGAATATAGGATTTGAGCACCTTTTGGAATGTGGGCTATTGTGGGTGGGAGACTTTCCATCATAAATTTATCTACCCATTCTTGTGCCTGAACAATAGAGGTTGAGTTAATATTCTTATTTGGACTCGAAGATATAGATGTAGGGATTGTTTCTGTATTGAAGGTATTATTTATACTTGAAATTGTAGGAATTGGTTCCAAGTTGATGCTATTAATAAGGACAGGATAATAAGATGCGGCATTATAAGTTCATTATCGTTAAAGAAAGTCCCTGATGAATGACATCGTTGGCACGTTTACCATGACAAATAATTTTATATTCCCTTTTATAAGGGATACATCGTTGTTGTGTATGAGAAATACCACAATTATATAAAATTTATATTATTTTAATAGATGATTATAGCTTGCTTACTTTATATTGAAAGATTCTTGATTTGCAAAACAAAACTTATCCTAAACTTCAATTTGGGTTAGCTGGGTGGGTAGCTATAATTTTTGATAAAATAAAATCATCCCTAAATCTACATGGTGCCCTAGGTTAAAACTCTTTCTCTTCCATATTTTATTATGGTGGGAAGAATGTATTAAAATATAAAATAGTATATAATTAACAAATAACATGATCCAGTATTTAATATAAAATGGCCTTAATATATCGTCTCACTGTGCAACGTCTCGTCTTGTGGGTTGAATATAAAAATATGATCTAAAAATATTAACATGATGGGTTCTACATATATATATATATATAAAGGTAAAAATATTTTTAGTTCAAATATTTTGTATAAAAAATGTTTTATTTTTAAAGTCTTGAACATACTTTTGAATATATATATATTTATCTACTACTCTTTGATACTGTAGGTACTCAGGTTATTGAGTACTACAGACTCCCAAATTATGGAGACTTATTTCTGTGCTTTTAGACTTTAGAAGAAATGCTAAATTACTATCAATTACAAGAGGGCAATTTTTTTATTTATGAATGATAATGAATTTTTACAAATTATATTGTGCTTTTATTAAAATTTAAGATACCCCAAATTAAGGAGACATTATTGATTTATACATTGACCGGATAATTGATTATTTTTCTAATAGCATATCATCTCATCTATCTTTTCAAAGGCATTTTCGTGATTTTAAAAATAAGCATTTTTTATACAAAACATTTGAACTGAATTTTTTTTTAATCTTTATCGCCGATTCAAACCTTTAAAATAAAATTTACAAATAAAAAATGTAATTTTATGATATTTAATCCGTTATATGGCGTTTATTATTTATAATGGTATTGTAACACACAGGTAATAAATTTTGGACCTTTGAAAAATTAGACCATTATATAGTTATCATAATTTTATATATTTTCATATCAAAAATCTCTAAATTTAAATATAATAAATGGGCTTCATTTTACCGGTAAATTTTATTTAAATAATCTACTTATTTTACTGGAGAAAAAATATATAAATATTTACTGAACAAATCAATTATAAATCTGAAAAACAAATATATATATATATACTTACTGGTAAATCTATCAAAATACCAAAAAATAATAATATTTTATACTGTAACCTAATTTACATACGTATTATTATTATTTATAATAGTAAAAATTAATAAAATACTGACAATTTTGTTGTTATCATAATTAACTAAATAATATATTTTTTTAAAAAAATACTGGTAATTTCTAAAAATGACTGCGAAAAAACAACTAAGTTAAATTATAGCAGGTGGTGGAAACTAAATAACAAGAACTTTGCACGAACCTGCCCGATTCTCCTGAACTACGCGGTTTAGTCGGGTTCGGATAGTTACTCTGACTCGACCGAATTGGACCGGCTTGGACCACTCGAATCGGGTCGGATCTGAAAAAATAGGTCAGATGTAAGGTTTTACATTAAACCCATTTTCACTTGAAAAGTGTGCGCCATAAAATTGCGCAATTTTAATGGCTTTGACATAGCCTAATAAATAAAATAAATAGGAGAGGGGGGGGGGGATATTAATTTTTTTTTAAAAAAAAACCATCATATTTATATTTTTTGAAGGTTCGGTAAAATAGAAAAGATCGATTTGATACCCGGTGGCTCTAACGTTATAGTGAACGGTTCTAATAGAATGCAATTCGTTTACCTTTTGGGCGATTACAAATTGAATAAACAGGTTTCGAACGGGTGTACTAAAGAAAGAAAAGGAAGAGAGAAAGAAAGAAAAGAGAATAGATAAATTTATACGTAAATTCATAACTTATTTTTTGTAATGAGATATCCTTTTTTAAAAATAAGTTATTTTGTTTCCAGGTGTTGTTTTTTTTGTGACGATTTATTTTAAAGAATAAATCGTTTCTAATCCTTTAGGCGCTTAAAATCTCGGACCCCTCACCATATTCCCCTATTTGTTCGGAAAATTATACAAATTAAGTCATTTATGCAAAATATTATTTTATATATCCCCCCTCCCAAAAAAAACGAAAAGTTGGATTCTGCCTGCAACGCTTTTGCCAACGGACTTTCGGACGTAATAGATCCCGCTTGGCTTGGAATTTTTACCCCCTCAGAACTCAACATTTTAATTGGGGGTCGGCCCGGCCCTATCGACGTCGCCGATTGGAAGCGACACACCGTTTATTCGGGTTTATAATCTTTTTCTCTTTTGTAGGAAACTTTTGAAAATACTCTTAATTTATACTAATTTGTTTATATCTTTATTATATAAATTCATGGCCAAATTGTCTTAAACTTACGAACTGAGTACTCACTCTAATGGTGGTTGAGTTACCATTTTGGTAAAATCATGAAAAAAAACCGCGCTATAAATTATTTACGCTAAAAAAAAGCCCGCGTCAGTAAAGTATAGGCCTGGATTTACCATACCCTTGAGGACATACGTACAATATATTAGTTATCTTATTAAAAGAAAATATTTATATTATATATTAGGTGGATACAACGAAAATGACCCGTCTATCAAATTATTTTGGGATATAGCCGAATTCGAGTTAGGTCATGACCAATTATCGAAATTGTTAAAATTTGTGACTAGCAGTTCTAGACCTCCCTTAATGGGTTTCAGGGTAATTATAGTAATTTTACGAATAGATACTGATCCTATAATACCCTCGCGATTCTTGGAATATTTAGAATTTCTCACCTTTTCCCACCCATATCCCTTATTTTTCATAAAATTTGTTTAAAATAAATTATTTCCCAGAGTATCCAACTTTTTTAAAATATATAAGTTCGGTTATGATTCCAGCCAGATAGAGTTATAAAAAGTTTAAGTTCGGTATTAAGGAATTGAATTTTACAAAGGATTTTCGATTCAGGTTCACTAACCTTTTAACTAAAATTCGGGGTAGGAAATTATTACTTACATTTCTTCTGAAGATTAACTAAGACATTTAGTAAAAAAAAAATCCCTTCTAGTAAAAGAAAAAACGGGGCTCGAGTATAGGGATACCTTGGTCAGTTTTTTAACTAACTAAAACACCTGGAAATTTTTGTGCTTTGTGGACATTGTATAAGTACGATTAATTGTAGAAAAGGCTATGATCTAAAATTTGTCATGGCCAGACAGCTTGTTTAAAAAAAAATTACATAAAATATATAAAATGTCAATAAACATATACATTAAATGTTTTTTCCTATATATACAATTTTAGCTATTTTTATGATCGTAATGGTCAAACAGATTTGCAATGTTCAGTATTCCTATTTAGGATGCCAGGTTGCTTTGGAAGGTTTTTAGATTCTTAGTTAGACTATAATAATTAAAATTTTAAAAAAATAGACATCTTACCATTACTGGGTTAAATAATATCCCCCCCCCCCCGCCCCCCAATTTAAAATTTTTTTTATCGGCATCTGTGTCACCCTAAGAATAGATATCGATAATAGGTATATAAAGAAAAAGAAACTTTATAAATTTATATAATTTCATTTTAAAATTCACAAAAATAAAGGAACTCAACCCACCTTTTAACATTCAAAAAACTTCCTCATCCAATTCAGCAAATATTACGCCTCTCAATAACGCCAATCAATCGCATCCATCCATCAGTCAAGTAGAAAATATTCAACCCAGTTCTAACACTCTCCCGACCGCCTCCACCTGTTTGCATTTGTTGAAATTGCCACCATCTGATAGCAAGAGCACAATGCGCCGAAAAATATTATACGCTATTAATAGTATGTCCGGATTCGAATTGAGTTGATATAAAGCTATTAGCACTAGATACCGAAATAAAGGAGGAAATAAAATTCGATGAATTTTTTAAAAGTTTTATAAGAAGTGGAATAAATGAAAATGTGTAGCAAATTATATAATGTAACGAATTATACCCGAAAAAAATTATTAATTTGTTTTTTTTAAATGTTTAGCTAAAAGAAAAAATGAACTGTTTATTCATGAATCAGGGACCATTTAATTTACATAGTATTTATTGATATCTTGTCTGAGAATAAAATTTAATTTATTATTAAGAAAGAATAGATATAAAGTTCGATTTTGAATAAACTTTTTTAAAAAAATAAGTTTAATATGAAAATATAGGGACAAAAAGAATTATTCTATAATTTCTGTTATGTTTATCGCATACCATAGTTATTGTGGCAAATTAAAGATTGGCCTGCCAGAATGGGCCAGTGACGATTTCTTATACGGTTTTTTCGTTGAGGTCGGGCATTCTTAGCCATGATAACGAATAATAATTGCTTCTCGATAAAATAAGACTAAAGAGAATTGTTTAATGTCGAATTTCAATTTAAGGTTGTTCATAGTTCCTTCTTTAGTCAAACAAAGGATTTATTCTTCCTTTAAAAAAAAGAAGAAGATTAACCTTTTTGGTTGTAATTTAAATGAAGTATATATATATAATACCCCTATTTCCAAACAGTTATAAATAATAGTCATATGGTCTACCTTTTCAGTACTAATTAGATCGAAGGTAGATACTAAGTTTTTAAAAAAAGGGATGTTTATCTCTGAAAAAAATATACAGGAATAAAAATTCTCTATTTCACTCATTATATAAGATTCAGGGATTCAAGGAACCGATAACCCGGTATTATCCGTTATTATTTACTGAATATAAATCGAACATGAAACGAACCTCTAAAAAGGTTTGAACTAGTTTAAACTTTTTGACCAACTGTTAAAAAATGATTATCAATCTAAATTTTGATTGATCAGCATCGATATTTTTATGTTTACGCTATTTAAAGGTGTTAGTTATCCGAAACTTAAAGAAGTGTTCAACCCTAAAAATATTTTTAATCAATAAAATCTTAGTTGTGAGTGTTGTTGAATGACTCGATTTTTAAAAAAACGTTTAACCCTATAACTCAACTGAAGATTTTACTCATATATGGAGAGAGAGAAAAAGGATTGGACATCTATTAACAAAATCTCGAGACTTGAGTATTGTTTATTTTGGCTAAAATCTTTCTATAATTTTTTTTTTAATGTAAACACAATTCTAAAAAGTTTGCAATGCGATAAAGTTCGAAACACGGTTTTTTAAGGGGTTAAAATTGAGCCGAATTTATTTTTTTGCGAACCGAACCCACAGACCGTTTATTATTTGAATTATGGCCATCGGCTACGGTTTCGGATCCCTGGTAACATCAAAATCATAACTTCGATTTATGCACTGATACATTTTCAGTTAGATAAAATTTTTTAATTTAAGAATCTCCATCCACAAATGATCCAAAATAGAGAGATCCCGAATCCCCGCGTATTCCAATACGACATATATAAAGAGAAAGATGTAAATTATTAACGGAAGTGACATCATCGCATTGAAACAATGCTCACGTAATCTGAAAGACAGATATCTTGTGAGACATTTTGTTCCAATATAATATCCAACAATAGGATCACCTGATTCTTGGTATGTTTATTTTTCCCAATATCTCTTATGAGAAGGCCTCATTTCATAATCAAACCTATAGGTATTATAATGTTGAATGACTTAATCGTGGTGTAGATAAATTAAAAAATTTACAAGAATATATTTTGTAAAAATGGTCAAAAATATGTTTAAAAAAAATCCTTTTGAAGATAATCTTCAATAATAATAAAATTTTATTTATTTTCAAACGATATAATATATTATTAAATACAAGAAGTTCAGGCAAGTAACCGGGGGTGGCAGCAAATTTGCTTGTTTTCGTATTATTTAAACTAACAAAGATTCCCACCTCTCCTGAAAAACGGTTAGTACAATATATCATTTATAAAGAAGAGTTTGAAAGAAAGATTAGTAAAAAGTTAATAAATTTTAAAATAACTAACATAATTCAAATTTTTTTAGAAAAATTAGTAAAAGTTAATAAAAATAGCGACTACAAAGGTCCATGAAGTTGGTGGAACGACTTGAGGATCAAGCTATGCCAATATTTAGAGTCTTAATTGATCTTCAAACCAGACATAAGCGGAATCAAAGGTTAATGAGTTATAGGCAAAATAAGGATTTAAAATTTTTAGAAAAAAACATTTTTGTAAAAAAAACTCGAAATTATTTTGAATTAAAATCCGTCTAAAGACCTCTAATAAAATTTACGGCAGAAACACCCACCTAATAGTGCTACCCCCCCCCCCTCTTTAGTAAATTTCTAGATACGCCTATGGAGAAGTTAAATGCCTCCAAAAAAAACCTAAATCTAAACCGTTCCACAAATATTCCTGAAACATAGTTTTCGCATATAAAAATATAAGGCTACTAAAAAAATAAACTGGGTTTAATTTTATAATAAATAATTTTTATATCGCCAGAATGCATAACTACAAACTAAAACCCCATTAAATACCTATAAAAGGAATTTATTTTCAGATATATATATATTTATTGGCGATTAATTTTTCAAAAATTAATTTTACACGGTCTTTATAAAAAGCAAGAAAACCAGCTTCTTCAACAAACTTCTAACGAATAAAACATGATTCGTATGCAGAGACGCATCCATACCAACTTATTAGCCGATATCCGGGTAGTCGTAAGACGGGTTCGGTCGATTCTAAACTACGAAAAATTATTTTCATAAAAAATTTCAATATAGCTAAAAGGCCTATTAATAGGTTTGACCTTAGTCCCTCTATATAAATTATGGGGGGAGTCACCACCTTCCTTGGCAAAAATATGGCTAACTCCAATGATTTTATTATTATTTATTATAATATTCGTTCAAGGCCAAAATTCTTCATTTATTTTTTCTTTTTCATATAACCCTTTTTAAATTTTTTTATAACTTATTTTCAAAAATTTAAGATATAGTTAGTTTTAATTTTTACTTAAATTCTCTGATGATAATAAAAAAAATTTTTTTAATTAATAAATTAATATGCTAAGCACAAAAAACATTTATAAAACTTTTTAATTTTTCGCACGTGAAAATAAAAAAATGAAATTTTAAAACTTTTTTTTTTGTTAAAAAATAATATATCACAAAAAAAAATGTTTAATTTTAATTTATATATAATAAAGGAATAAACTACCTTTTAAAAAATTTAATTATATTTTAAAAAAATTATAATTATAAACCATTACAATTACTCTTTTATTTTAACAATTAAATCCATTATCTCATTTGGACGAATTATTTCTAATTTCTACACTATGGTAAATAATTATTTACAAATGCGAAATCAATTCATCGTATTATCGAAAAAATAATCCAGTATTATATATATCTATTTTAAAATACCATATTCATAAGCTAACAACGATAATATTAAATGGGAGAACTTTTAAATGGTTCTTTTAGCTTCATTATTGAAGAGATAGAACAATTTAACACGATTCATAGACAGCTCATAAAATTGACTCCAATATTTCGATATTTTTATTCCGTTATAAAAAGCATATGTATTGTTAGATTCGATTAGATTAGACCAATGACATATAATAATAACCGACGATGCATTCATTAAAAGTGTGTGTCAATCAAGAACAGCTGGAGGCGTCATTTTGGTTACTAAACGAGAGGCCAATTCATTCCTATGTCTGACGCAAACTTTATTAAGGAATTGCCTGATCATCGAGATAATAAGGAAGCAAGTCAATCAATTTAATAGTAGAGTTTTTACCATGAGAATTAGTTACCATATGGGTTACCAAAATGGCGGGACCAGCTGATTAGAATTGTTTCCGAATGCATTATTAAATGTTATTGGATTAGACACGATTTTTGAATTATTCAAAGCTAATAAAAAAAAAGAGGTATAAATAATCTTAAGACATATATTTTTTTGCTGGAATGACTTTCGAGATTTATCCAAATAATATGTTACTTTTCTAGATTATAAAGAAGAAGATTTGATAATTCAAATTTTTCTATTTTGTAAGGCTACCATTTTGTCGTCATAATAAGCTACATGTACATTGTATTAAATGGCCAAAATTTATATTTACGAACTGATTATTCCTTCAGGAAGTGTTATTTCATCTGATAATGCCGCTTCCCTAAAGTGTCTTCATTTTAAAACTTAATTTTTGCGGACTATTTCAAAAAAGTATTTTTGTTTTTTAGCCAGTTGATTTTACTAAATTTTTATTATAATATTATGTATCCTCATTTAAAACTTAATAGGAGTGTTTCAAAGAAATATTTTTGTTTTCTAGTTTATTGATTTTACTAAATTTTTCATTACAATATTATTTTATGTATTTTTTTAAAAAAAAAACATTACGCTATTTAATACCGCATTATAATAATATAGCCAAATTAATTAAAATTTTGGTGCCGTGAGGTAAAAATTTAAACTTTTTGATAGTCAATTTATTTGTTTTATTTCAAACGTTTGTGAATATTTGTTATTGCCAAAAAATGAAAATGAATGATAAATTTTATTATCAGATTTATTTTTTAGCTTGATAAACGAAGAGGTTATAACATAAGAAAAAAATAGGTATTTTTCCCATTTTACTTGGAAGTCACATATAGTAATATTCTAGAAAAGTTAGTTTTTTCTTGCTACATGATTCAAAATAATCATTTGATTTATAAAAAAATTTAAACCTCAAAAGCTTTGGGATTGTAAAATTTTATAGCTCCTTATTTTAAAACATTTATTTTTTAACTGTTACTGTTTAAGAAAAGAAGAAATAAAATGGATAGTTAATCATTTGTAGTTTCTGATAAAAGGTTAAAGTGTAAATTTTAGAAAATTATTTTAACTTTTATAAAAATATTAATTCTTTGAGTTAGGGAAGGTAGGTTTAATTAATAGTTTGGGGAATTTATGTAATGTATTTTTTTTCTTGTTATTAAAAACTGGAAGAGAGAAGTTATAATGGATTAAAGGCTTTCATTAATTGGAATATTACACAGAAATA